ACGGCACCGGCGGCCAGCAGGGAAGCATTGCTACTTCCATGGCGTTGGCATCAGGGCTGCTTGCCAAAGTCCCCTTTAACTCTGGCCCTTGGGACACCATGGTGGAGCTGCTGCGCCTCTGATTGGTGACAAGAGTCACACAGCCGCCTAGTAGAGGTTTTCTTGGACACGCCTGAATTTGCTTGCATGTATGTACGAGGCTGAGATAGTTGAGATTCTCTGTGTATGTAAACATGCGTGTGATTCTTGAGGAGTCAACCTGGTATTTTAGGATATGAACCAGACATTTCTCACAAGCTATTTGGTAAAATAAATGTGAGAAATTTTTGAAGACTCCTCAAAGAAGAGACCTGCGGAATGGCCTCCTGTTTCTGTCTTGTCTGAACTTCAGTGAAAGGTAAGAAAATGGGGAACCCGCTGGGCAGAACAGTTTGGTACTTTCTCAGAATGATAAACACACAGTTACAGTATGAACCACCGTGCTACTCCTCTGGATATGTCCAGGAGAAATTAAAATGTAGCCAGACGCAACCCTGTGCGTGAATCGGAATAACAGCATTGTTCAGCTGTCAAAAGTCCACCCAAATATCCACTTGCTGATGAGCAGACAAAGATAACACATTGTGCCCATTCAGAAGGATATTTGACAGTAGAAAGTGATGTAATACTGACTGCATGCTACCTGCTACAACTCGAACGTACCTTCAGAATATTATGGTAGGTCAGTGGTGGCGAACCTATGGCACACATGCTAGAGCCAGATGTTTGTTATCATTAAAAGTTCTAAAAGGTTTGCTGGCACTGTGCTAGATGAGAAAAGCTACCCACAGAAGGCCGCAAGCTGTATGAGTCGGGGTTTTTTTGGTTTTTTGGTCTTTTTTTTTAGACAGGGTCTCACTCTGCAATTCAGGCTGGCCTTGAGCTCACTTTGTAGCCCAGCCTAGTCTCAAACTCGCAACAATCCTCCTGCTTCAGCCTCCCGAGTGCTGGGATTACAGGCATGCGTGTATGAGTCGTTTTATATAATGGGCCAGGGTGGGTAAACCCACAGGGGGAAAATGTTAGTGGCTGCCAAGGGCTGGGAACAGGTAGATGAAGAGTGGCTGGAGGTAGGAGTAAGGTTCCCTTTGGGGTCAGTGAAAGTACTCTAACATTAGTAACGGCAGTGGTTGTTCAGCTTGGAGGATGTGCTAAAACTGGCTGCACTGCATACTTTAAAAGGGGGTATACATTGTATCATAATGAAATTATTACTGAAATACATAGAATAAATAGAAAGCTACCCATGAGAAAATATGAGAAAAAAGCCCAAGAATCTGCAGACCATTTGTACTATGCTTTCCATAGAGGTGACATTTCATTCTTCAGACCGTTCTTATAAAACTCACCAGCGCAGGGGCACTAGGTTCCTGAAGCGCTAGTCATGATTACATTATGCTAAAAGGTGGCTAAACGGAAACGTGATGGCTGACTTCACCCTAACAGCGTGTGCGCCCTTGGCGAGGTGAGTTCTCTGTTCAGGGGCAAGGAGGTTGAGTAGGTTTATACAAGACATTGTCTGTCTTAGGCCATTTCCAGTGCTAAATTCAGAATTGCTTGCTAAAATGGTCAGTGTGCTCGGAATCTGGGGGGCTAATTAGGGCAATAAATACAGCTCTGACTCATTAGGACAAAAGATGGATGGATGAAAGACTGAGAAGTGTTGTGCAGTAGACGTTGTGTTCGCTTGTGAAGAGACCTGTGCATCTTTATTCACATACTGTATTTCTGTGATACAAAGTTTATGAGTGAGTGACGTGTCTTCCAGAAATGCTGCAGTTGACACACGTTGTTCTATTAGCAATCACACCCTTTAGTGATTAATGTTTTACTTTCCCCAGCTTCATGTGAATAGGCAAACCTTGTTTCCAGTTAGTGCCGCCTCCTCCTCCTCCTCGGGTTTTCCCATGCCCGGGTCCTGTTGATGATTCTGAGAATACACTCTTTTCCTCTCACCATGCTACCCCCACCCCACTTCCCCACAGCCACCCGACCTCACACAACTGATACTTTGTGGCTGGCGTCTTCACTTCTTTGATGAAGTACAGTTCATCCAGATGTCTTACTATGGTAGAGGGGTCCACTCACCAGGAATCAGTCGTAAGCCTGCATACACTGCATGACACACTGCCAAAATACACCAAGGAAAACCTGGCAGAAGCGAAATGGACAGCTCTGAAACAGCAGTTGGAGCTTGAGTACCTCACTGAGGTAATGAACCGTGCAGCCAGCCAGAAGTTCAAGGAGGAAGGAGACAACTTGAACGACTCTGTCAACCAGCTATATCTAGCAGATGGTTGTCGTACATTCTGTCCAATAACAGCGTAGTAGACGTTCTCTGCAGTGCATGTGGAATGTTCTCCGGAGCAGACCACTTGCTAGGTTAGGGGGAAAAAAGTCAGTACGTTTAGAAGACTAATGGTAAATAAAGACTACCACTTTTGCCAACTATAATGTAATTAAGTTAGACATCAACTATAGAAAAAATGGGAAGCTAAAAATCTGTGGAAATTAAACAGCACGCTTCTAAATAACCACTGGGTCAAAGGAGAAATCAGAAAACACATTGAGATGAATGGGGTGCTGCTAAAGCAGAGTTTACAGGAAAATTGGGCTATAGTCACTGCATTAAGAGAGAAGAAAGATCCAAATTCACTAGGCTAATCTTGCACTTTAAGATACCAGGGTGCAAGGAGAATTAACTGTCCTTAAATCAAACAGGAAAGAATTAAGGATTAGAGCAGAAGTCAATAGAAAATAAAAATCCAATATAAAAGTTAAGACTTCAACATTTTTTAAATTTATAAAGCTTTACCAATTATAGGGGCTGGGGATTTAGCTCAGCGGCAAAAGCGCCTGCCTGGCAAGCGCAAGGTCGTGAGTTCGGTTCCCGGTACCGGAGAAAAACCAAAAAAAAAGAAAAAAAAAAAAAAAAAAGCTTTACCAATTATAATAAATTGAATTAAAATGTTTGCAGAAGAAATTAAGTCAGGAGTATTTTTCACAAAATAGGTGACTTTTTAATACATTAAGCAACATTAAATTTTCAGTGTATTTCACAGTCCTGTTATAAAAAACAAAACTTTGAGGAAATATCCACCAAGAGCTGCCTTTTTACCAATTCAGATTCCCTTGGAAATTGTCCACCAAGCCATTTCAACCCCAGCTGTTGCAAAATCTTGTCCAATGGAAGGTGTGCAACAGTGCTAATCATAGTTAGTCCTTGTACCTCCACTTCCAGCTACATGATTTGGGGCAAGTTGCCCAATTTTTGAGACCCATTTTCCTTATCTGTAAAATAGAAGAAATTTCTTCAGTATGGAACATGTGAGATAATATACATAAAAGAACCTGCTTTGAAGCTTGGTTTATAGGAGAGAAATTGGTTTGTATCTATTCTATATTCATTTGGTGATTTTAAAATTAAATAGCAGTTTAATTGCCGCATGTTGCATTGGTATGCATATATGAATATTCTTGACAGAGAGTAGAAGAAAAAGTCTTTAATGTTGAACTCTACCACCAGATTTCATGCTAGTCTTGTTTTCTACAGTTAGATTATAACTGTTTGACAATATGAGCCGATTCCACTATCGTAATAATTACTAAAGTGTTCACGTTGGATAAAATGTGCGTCTTGGCCTAAATTGATTGTTTTAGCAACTGGTTGTCATGACCAAACATTTGGGCCCTTCAGGGAGGAACCATTTGTAATCTACTGTTTGTTATGGTTTTGGTGGTATTGTGTTCTGTGCCTCAGTTTTTGGTCAGTCAAGCATACTTCTTTGCTTTTCATGTGTTTCTGTTGTTAGTTTGGACCCCAGGCTAGTGGCATGGCAGCTCTATAGCGCATTTGTGAGCTGATGAGCACGGTGGCTGAGTAGGTCTTGTTTTTTGCTCAAAGCATCGTTTGTAGTTGGTGATATGAAAGTTGCGTGGTGCGTCTTAGAATTTCAGCATGACTATAGATACTGCTCACCTGGGAATCTTGTTGAGCATGCAGGGAGGCCTGAGGTGTGGTGGAAAATTCCCACTTCCTTTAAGCTTCCAGGCTGTCCCAGGGCAGCTGGTCCTGGCCCCTGGGTGAGCAGCAAGACAGTGGAGCAGCAAGACAGCAAGGGGTGAGGCGAGCTGGCCTGGCATACATGCAGGTCCTATCTCCTTGTGCCTTCTGACCTTGTTTCCTCAATGGAGCACTGCAGTAAATCAGCTGAAAATCCAGAGGCATCAGAATTCAGGGATAGTGATACTGTTCTGGTATTTTAAGTATTGTAATGGTCTAATAAGGTAATAGAATGCTTCCTAATGTGTTTCTTTCAGTCCCTGTGTATCACTGCCTGCCCGCCACTCGTCTCTTTCTAGGGTATATTATTGGGTACCAACACTGATAGTTGTGAAACATCTCCATTTCTGTTATCTATAGTTTTTTTTTTTTTTTTTTTTTTTGTCTTTTTGAGACAGGATCTCGATATGCAGCTCAGGCTGGCCTTGAGCTCACTTTGTAGCCCAGGCTGGTGTTGAACTCGCAATGATCCTCCTGCCTCAGCCTCCTGAGTGCTGGGATTACCGGCGTGCGCCCCCATGCCCGGCTGTTGTCTATAGTTCTATGACTGTGTCGTTAACCCTGCCGGTAAAGAACGTGGGTGAGACCTGCCTGCCTCCCAGCAAGCCTTTCGTCATGCAGTGAAAGGAATTGTGCAATTCTGTTCTAACACTTAAGTGTGTGATTGAAGCTTCCCAGTGAAGCTAGTCTGGAACCCTGGGTCATTGAGATGAGCGTGCAGATTGAGTTGTACCTGTAGAGTCCGTGGGCTTGTTTGCTATGACGTGTGACTCTGGAGGCCGAGTTTCAGAAGGATTAGGTCACTTGACAGCAGTCATTTTAGGATGTATCAAGTTTAATTCCTAATAGGATGTAGATGTGGCTTGACCCATAATGCGTGCCTTCTGACTCGTTACAGAACACAGAAGCAGTCGCAGGAAAGACAAGAGGAAGACGGGCAGGAGGAAATGGGAAGGCACAAATAGCCTGGCAGATGACCTGGCAGCCCTAGACAGCGGGCTGGCAGGCAAGGTGGCCTCTGCTTACAGGAACGAGACCAACAGCCCCCGGGACAGGAGGGCGCACAGAAGGACCAAGCGCTTTTTATCCTACCCACGGTTTGTAGAAGTCATGGTGGTGGCGGACAAGAAAATGGTTTTATACCATGGAGCAAACCTTCAGCACTATGTTTTAACCTTAATGGCCATTGTAAGTATATTCAAGAAGATCACTCATCCTCAGTGTCCACCGGGGAGGGTTTCCCACAGTGCTTTGGAGGAGCATTCGGGGCTGCCCTTTCAGCCATTCAGACAAAGGGCAGAAGGGAACTTGCGTGTACTCACCGGCTGCCTTTCCACGTTGATGGTGGTGTTATCGATATTCCCTGGTTGTTCGATATTTTATATGAAATTTAAATGTGCTTCTTACTTAAAAAGCATAATTCCCAGTCCACTAGGCTGGATTATTATCTCATCTTATAGACAAGAAGACTGAGTTTCAGAAGGATTAGGTCACTTGACAGCAGTCATGTGAAGCTAGCAAGGTGCTGCGACACTGCATAGGACCTTCCGCTGGTCCACTCCCTAGATCTATGCTCTTTGGTTTGTGAACGTTCACAGCCAGGTGCGGCTCTTTAGTACTACAGTACTGGTCAGCCGCGGGCCCCAGGGCCTTAAACACGCGCTGGCTGCTGATGGCGTCATACGCAGTATTCGCAGTAAGCAGCCCTGGAGTGAAGCCTAAGAATCACTTTTTTGTACTTTCGTACTAAACTGAAAGCACAATAAATTTACACAGTTGAAAAAGTCTAACAGAACCCAATATTACTGATCAAAAGGAAATATTTTCTGTGCAGATTCCCCAGTGTCTTCCCAGAAGCAACTATTATTAAAACTTTTTGTTGCTTCTAACTAGCACTGCCCAACAGAAATATAATGGAAACCACATCATTAATTTTAAACTTTTTAGCAGGTATGTTTTTTTGAAAAAAATATCAAGAAATACAGAAAGTTAGTTTTAACAATATACTCTTTTATACCAAACACTGTAATTCCAAAGTTTTTTGACGAGATGGCTGGATGTGGAGGCACACACCTTACTCCCAGAGTTCCCGAGGCTGAGACAGGACGATATTGAGTTCAAGGCCAACCTGGACTACATGGCAAGACACTGCATCCAAAGCAAAACAAAAAAACAACCTAACAAGGGCTTTACTTAAGCTTTTCAAAACTCAGTTTGGACTCGCCACGCTGTAAGTCCTCAGCAGTAGCATACGGGGCAAGTGGCCCCTGTCTGGGAAACTCTGGACGTTTCTTCGGCACATATGCTGGCATACACGGCACCCCTTGCCGTGGGTCCCTGTTTGTGGACTCGGGCACCCCTGGGTCCGCAGTATGTGGACAGGAACTTCACCTGTACTGAACTGCACCTGTACCAGACAGGTACAGATTTTTTTCTTGGAGCACAACTGTTCACATTGTTTCAGGTATTATTAATAACCTGGGAATGGTTTAAAGATCTTGGGAGGATGTGGGTGGGTCGCGTGCAGATACGCGCAGCTTCCCGACGAGGCTCATGCACCCTCGGAGCGGGGCATGCTGAGTCCTGGAGCCAGCCTCCTCAGATACAGACAGAAAAGGGGCAGGCTCATAGACTGCTTTACACTCTTGTTTAGAAAAAGCTTTAGAGGCTGTGGACATTGCTCAGTGCTAGGATGCTTGCCTGGCATGCAAAGACCCTGAGTTCGATCCCCGGTATCACAGGGAAAAAAGATCAAAAAAGTAAAGTATTCCACAGCAGCCCCTAGAGACCTGCTCCCTCTCAGCACTGCTCTTTCTTGTGAACTACCTAATTCTCCGGAACAGTGCTTACTTTCAGTCAGTTCCCCAGATAAGGGTGAAAAGCCACCGTGTTGGGGAACGTTGCTTTGGGGCTTCTTCGGGCCTCTGCTGGCCTGGGGTGCTGCTGTCCTTCCCCTCACTGCTGTGGGCCACTCCCCTGTGCACCCCGTGCTGACCGCACCCCTCCTCATCCCGTGCCCAGCCCTCATGACCAGGAAGGAGGGAAGGGAATACCCCATCAGGGTGCCCAGCCCACCCAGCTCCATGGCCATCCCACAGCTCCTTTCGGAGGAATGTTGGCTACGAACGTGAGCTTTGGGTAGCATGACCTAGGATCAGCAGGCTCAGCGCTCCGGCTGTGCTGCGAACCACTGCCTGTGGAGCAGCCTTGGACAAGTTACTTAACTGCTCTGAACCTCAGTTTCCTCATTTGCTACATAGAGGCTATAATAGACCTGGTTTAAAGTTTTACTGTTGTGACTAAATGCAAATGCATTTGCAGTTTTCAGAGAAGATCTAGTACACAGTAATGTGAATGTCAGCTCTCGTAACTCATTTTAACAACGCAAAATGAACCCAAAACAGGTTTCACAGGGTTTGGGGATACAAACAGGTGAGAAGCACAGAAAACTGCAAGTATTAGCGAACGTAGTGAACGTGAGCGTCCGTAAGCTGGCAAACCAGGAAAGAGATCGGTGGCAATTCACATCCGGTGTTTTGGTACAGAAAACTGCTAAGTTGCATGGGAATGTGATTCAGGGGAAAATGCCCTGGAATTTAAACTTGCTCAAGGTCATTATGGTCTAAAACTGCCATCTGTAGATTCAACAGAGAGACTTTAAATAAATGTTTGTTGAATGAATAAAAATTCAGAACTGGAAAATGCATGTGTTGCAGGAAATGTAAAAATAAATGGCGCCCAACCTAAAAGTGACTGCTTATTGCTTACAGAGAGTTTACAATTAACTTTGAAAAATTTATCTCCGTTGCAGGTAGCCTCTATCTATAAAGACCCAAGTATTGGAAATTTAATTAATATTGTCATTGTGAACTTAGTTGTGATTCATGATGAACAGGTAATAAAGATCTTTTTTTTCCTTCTACCTGTGTATAAAATGACATCTCTGAGAGGTGTGGGTAGCAGAGACCAACTGTAACGCTTCTCTGTGTTTAGGAAGGACCTGTCATATCTTTTAATGCTCAGACAACGTTAAAAAACTTCTGCCAGTGGCAGCATTCAAAGAATTACCCAGGTGGGATCCGGCATGATACCGCTGTGCTTATTACAAGGTATTTGGATTTCTGGATCCTCGGTCTCTCAGCCTCGGGCCAAGGCGGCGGGGTGTGGTCACATACTCCAGCCCCAGTAGGGGGCCACGGACGCTGGTCCAGGGAATCTGTTGTGGGGCCGCCCTGAGCACTGCAGGGCCTCGACAGCATCCCTGGCCTCGCGTGCTGCTGTCAGTCACGCTCCCTTCTCTCAAACCTGACTCCAGTCTCCAGATGTCCCCTGGGAGGGCAGGAGGGAGGCTCAGCCCCAGCTGAGACCCGCTAAGGCTAGGTAAGGAGAAATGCCTCAGGCCAGCCCGGAAGCAAACCTGTCCACCTTTGGGGCAGCTGCTGCTGGCACCCAGGTGGTTATTGCCCCCAGATCTGATCCCGTGATTCTGGCTCGAGTGATTGTGCAAGAAGCCAGAACAGGAGTTTTTTTTAAAAATGTGAAATCTTACAATGTTTAAAAGGCAGCTCACATCTTGAAAATGTTTAAAGCATTGTAACAGAGCAGGAGAGGAGGGTGGTGACCTATTTGTGCCTCCTGTGGTGGACCCCCTCTGTTAATGCTCCAAAACACTTCTGAGCTCTTGGGGCTTTTGTAGGGGTCCTCGCACGTGGGCTGCACCCCTGAGCCACACCCCCACCCTCTGCTGGCTCTTAAATAAACTGAAGTGCAAAGCACGTAGCACCTTCTCAAGAATGTTTTCATCCTTCAGAAAATTCCAGGTACTGACTGTAGGGCGTTGGAGAAGTCTTGGTCAGAGAGGCTTCCGGTTCCTCTGTGGCCACCCCGGCAGCACAGAGACTTCTGCTGTAGCTTCTCGCCCTTAAGTCAGTGCTTCCCAAACCGTTCTGTGTTGCAAAGCCCTGGCGTTGTCAGTGTGCTGCGACCTCCCCCGCACCGCGTGCTCTTGTGACCTCTAACCAGCTGAGGTGTTTGCATGCTCTGCTCTTTGGTGCGGCCAAAACTGAGGACTGCTTTGTTTTCAGACAGGACATCTGCAGAGCTCATGACAAGTGCGACACCTTAGGTGAGTCCTGTGCACGTCCTCTGGGACCGAACAGTGTGTAGTGTTTCTGTCACAAGCCACAATCGCTTTTTAAAGTCAATCCTTGCTGTTCTTACTCCCACCTAATAGGCCTTGCCGAGCTGGGGACCATCTGTGACCCGTACCGGAGCTGCTCCATCAGTGAAGATAATGGCTTGAGTACAGCTTTCACAATTGCCCATGAGCTGGGCCATGTGTAAGTTTCCGCTTCGTAATTTCTTTCAATTCCAAGCAACCTAAGCCTTCTGTCTCTCTGCACCAGTGAGCATTGCCTTGACTTCGTCACAGCAGCATTTGCAGGGCTGGAAGCTTTGACCCTGAGTGGAAGAAATGACTTTGGCTTCAGAAAGCTGAGTCCGAGGTAGCTCGGCCTCTTCAGCCACGGTTCACGTGTGTCTCTGGTGAAACTGCTCGTATTTGACATGCAAAGCTTCGTAGGCTCTTCCTTCCTACTGGGAGCAGGAGGCGCAGGGCCCCTCTGCTCTTTCCACTGACGGAGAGGGTACGCTAATGTGGAAAGCTTTCCGGACTCAGTGTCTCCATTTAGGTGGGTCCCGCAGTATTGCCCTGGGCCGTAAGATTTTTACAAATCCAGATCCGTCCTGACTGCAGCTGTAACTCAGGTACTTAGTATCTGGGAAAGTAATAGCCTCTTCAAGAAAAGAGACTGAGCAAAGACACAGAATAGGAATCATTTCCTCGTTATGGCCACTAAGTGGCCGTTAGGAAATGCACTTTCCCCGTGGCTCTTTAGAGACAGAGCACGGTTAGAACACATGGCAAATCAGTGTAAATTTGCTAGAAATTATTCTGACTGTTGAACTACATTGTTTTCTTTCTTAAACAAGTCACTCACACTCTGTGTTTTTGGAATGGGTGTCATCATGAGTACTGTATCAGTTTGCATGTCAGAACCCTACTTAGAGGGAACATCTACTAGCCAAGCATTTTTACTCAAATATTTTCATAAGAGACTTTGTACGCGGTGTGCTATGCTATGCACAGAGCGAAGGTGTGTGTGGGTGTGGGCACATGCACACTCACACACACACACCCCTAGAGGCATCTGCAGGTCAGTTCTGTGAAAATGGATGTATCTAAAGTTGCTTTTCTTGTTGCTGGGACAGAACGTGCAGCGCCCAGTGGTGCGGGAGAGAACAGGTCATGGCACCCACAAGGCAGCACAAGCAACAAGGGAGGAGCAGACCTCTTTCTGTCCCTTGTGTTGTATCCCGTCTGCCCGCCGTAGGGAGGCAGTAGCAGTCACACCCTTAATCCCAGCATCACACGCTTTAAATTCAGACACGGTAAAGCCCCTTCCCTGTGACTGCACGAGGCTTTGGGAGACGTCTAGACACAGCCGTAATGTACCTTTGGCCACGTTTTAAGAGCGCGCTCCTTTTTCTCTCCAGTGGAGCCCTCTCAGGTGACCAGAAGGTAGAACATGAAGGAAGCCTGGCTCTCCATAGCAGTGGCACCAGGCCAGACATGCTTTGTTAGTGTCTTCCCTGGCCCCTGGCTCCTGAGGCGTCTTCACGAAATACAGGGGCTCCCCAGGAGAGTTCTAACCCAGGGTCCCCACCTGAGTAGCCCCATGACCTCGATCAAGGGGTCACACCCTCTGTGCCTCAGCCCTTCTTTGTAATAGTACAGCCCGGGCGTCAGTGGGGCCTGGTCCCAGGAACCTGCGTGGACATCACCACCCTAAGATGCTCAGGCCCTTTGTTTGAGGAGGCGTGGTGTCTGCGTAGCACCTGTGCACACCCTCCTGAACACTTTAAATCACCTCTTGTTACCTGTATACCTCACCCAGTGTAAATGCTACAGAGAGTTGTCTGCTGTATTGTTCAGAGAGTGATGACGGGCAGATAAAACATTCTGTATGTGGGAGTGTTCTCCACCTGCAGTTGGTGGGAGCTGTGGCTGTGGGACCTCAGACGACGCAGGCTGACTGTGCTATTCACTGGCTCAAATAAGTGAGTAGATGGAGTAAGGCGCCCACAGCACTGCCTCTACTTCCGGGGCACTGTGAGTGCTGAGAAGGCTTGGTTACTGTTGTCTAACAAGTGTTCAGCCAGGCTGGGGTAGAGCTCGGTGGGAGAGGCCTTGCCTAGCGTGCGTGAGGCCCTGGGTTCATTCCCCAGAACAACAACAAGGCCTTCCTTAAATCAACGTTCAGTAAATACTAAATAATACTATTTAGTCCCTGCAATAAGCAAATATACCTGGCGTGTGAATGAAAATACATTTTCTTTCGATTTTACCAAGTCGCGGTGGGGCAGGGAATGAAGGCCCGCTCCTTTGTCCACAGAAGAACAAGCTAGAGTTGAGTGCAGCGCTTGTTTGGGTTTATTAGTATAAATGTTGCCGGGACCATGCAGCTGGGCAGTGGAACCCAGGACAGTCACTCTTTTAAGAAAACAGGCTCTTGAGCATGTGAGACTATTAATTACTGGGTAGAACCCAGGAAGACCGAGATTTCCCACCCCTGCTGTCCGGTTGAGGGGCCTGCATTCTTTTAGAGAAGAAGAAAACGCAAGAGAAATTCTGGAGCAGATTCCACCACTTCTTCCTATTCTTTGCCGTCCCGGTTCTGGGTTTGCACCCAGGGCCTTTGTGCCGAGTTACCTCCGGCCCTTCGGGTTGACGACCTGATTTTTATTTCCAAACAGGGCCTCACTAAATCACTCGGTTGCCCGGCGGGGCTGGAGTTGGCATGCTTCTGCCTCAGCTGCACAGAGCACTGGGATCCCAGGTGTGCGCCGTCGCACCCGGCTGCCACAGCTTTTTCTCTCTATGAGGCAGCCTCCCCACTGCCGTCTGGCCCACTTACTCCCGTGCTCAGGATGAGCTAGTGGAGGGAATTCCCTCCTCAGAGCCGAACTGGTCACGTGCTGCAGTTTGTGACTGGCATCCATCTCCCTGGGAGACAGGAGTCGGGAGGCAGAGCCTTTCTGGCCTGTACCCAGATGGCCAACTGCCTGGGCAGAGAATGCCGCGTGGGCCGCAGGAGCGGTGCTTCTGGGCTGAGGAAAGGCTTGCTGTTATTTCCTTCCCACTTCCTCTGCCTCAGCCAAGAATGGCAAGCATGCGCGAAGGCTGCTGCGGAGCTCCCTCGGGCCGAGAGGATGCTGGCAGCACTCGCAGCCCACTCGGTGAGAGCCTGGGGGAGTTCAGGAATGCTGTGGCCTGATTCTCCAGGAAGCGAGTTCCAGGGAGTCGGTGTGGGCGCGCAGTGTGGAGCTCTTGCCGTCCCCACGTTAAGCCAGCCCGGTTAGCGCGCTCTGGTTCCCACGTCGCCACTCCAGCTCTGCGGCTGTGCGCCCCGGTACACGCCGAGAACCTCGCGGGGCTGTCCCAGCCAGGTGCTCCGCCCGTCACCCTGCCCGAGAAGGGTGTCAAGACCCACGGGCACCTCTGGCTGGAAAGCCTTTGGCCTTGGTTGTGGACAGGGACTGAGGTTCTTTATTAATGAAGTTCACTGGTACATTTTAGCATGCATCATGAGCCCATTCATTATAAGGAATTTGTACCTGCACATGGCGTAACGTGATGCTTTTTTTCCCCATTCCCTTCCCCTCCCTTCAGTTCTCCTCCCCTCCTTATTGACAAAAGCTCTGTTTCCATTTTATCCTTCTTTTCTCATCTTTCTCCTTTTCCCTTCCTTCCTTTCCTTCCTCTCCTTCCCATTTGAACATTTTCTTCCTATTTTACAAACGGACTGCCTTTTTATGTTCATACCAGTGTCACACCTTGCCAAATTCTTGACTATATATTACCCTGTAACAGATTGTTAGGAATTCTAACGGCTGTATTCTAGAACCAGCTACAGCACATTCAGAGTTTCTGCAGTTCCAAAAAGTACACTTAAACCAAAAAACGGCCTAATACGTGTCTTCTAGTCACTGAAGGCACTATATGTTAAACAGAGCGGCGTTGCTGTTGTATTCCACACTCCATCCTGAATTGTCTTACATTTTACTCTACTCGGCTGCCTGAGGTTTTTATCCGCAGTACAGTAGCTGACGGGTTTTTTGTCTTGGATGTGTTCTGGAAACAGTCGTATCGGTGCAAACCCTGCGTGCGCCCTGACATTCTCGTCCCTGTCTTTTTGGCTCTAGGTTTAACATGCCCCACGATGACAGCAATAAATGTAAAGACGAAGACGTGAAGAGCACCCAGCACGTCATGGCGCCTACCTTGACGGTCAACACGAACCCCTGGGTGTGGTCAAAGTGCAGTCGGAGATACATCACTGAGTTTCTAGAGTAAGTCCTGAGCTTTATCTGAGCACGAATCTCGAGAATCGGCCAACACAGAGCGAGCTAATTGTGGGAAGGAAAATGCAGACTCAGGCATTCCTTTTGAGTTGTTATTTTTGTTGACATTCCTTAAAGGAGGGAAAAAGCCCTCTTTCATCCGCACAGTCCCAAGCCCTGCCAGTGTTTAGAACGCTACAGACTGAGCGAAAGAAAAGGTTTGACTCTCAGAAGGAATGTGGAAATGTTGCTGGATTTGGGCAAAGCTTTGAAATTTGTTCAGTTCTGGAGAGTCAGTGTGATGCCGTGAGGGAGACCACAAGTGTTTGTGGACTTTCAGCTTCGTAGCTTTGGTTGGGAAAGGGCTGGAATCTGAGGTGGTCCCAGGGAAGGGCGCAGGGTGGGCAGTGATCGCAGCGCTCCCCGTGCATTGAATCGGGTGTCGTCTCCCTTGCTCGCTCCCCTCTCCTTCTTTCTTTCCTTTTCCTATTTTGGTTTTAGCTTTCTGGCAGGCTGCTCGAAGATCCAATTACATGATGCAGTGCCCTTGTGTCACAGATGTTCTGTTCTTCTCTCCCAGATGTAGGAAAGGCTGAACGGCTGTGCCAAGACACAGTCCCTGGGTGTGTGTTTGTGCAGCCACAGGGGGGAGGGGTTTATTCATCAGAACTTGTCGGGTGTGAATTTTCCAGGGGAGATGTTTGTAGAGAGCGAGAGAACTAGAGGGCTGCCGCACTTCTTCTCAAGCAGGTGGGACAAGGTGTTTTCTTTGTGTGAGTCACTGATTCACTCACTCACTCATCCCTTCAGCAGACATTAGTACACTTCTGTTGCAATGGACCAGGCCCCAAGCTTAAATAAAAGAGACACTGTCCACGTCCCTAAGAAGTTCACAGTCTACCGGGAAGGCATAAAGTGAAATAGACAGTCGGCCCAAATACAATCAGTGCTGTGACAGATATCTATTTCCTGCCGCCTATGTCATATGCATAGCATGTGGTTTGACAGAGTATACACCGAAGATGTAACTTCTGCTTCTGGACTTACCCCTGGTTGAAGAGAATAACGTGAAATCCAGAGAGAAATCGTCTTTACTGCCATTAGATTGGTGGGGTGGCCTTTACCCGTGTGGGAGCCGTGGACAGTCCCTGTTCTCATATCTGCCTGTTTCCTCTTCCCACAGCACTGGATACGGTGAATGTCTGCTTAACGAACCTGAATCCAGACCCTACCCTTTTCCTCCCCAACTGCCAGGCCGCTTTTACAGCGTAAACAAACAATGTGAATTGATTTTTGGACCCGGATCTGAGTTGTGCCCATACATGGTAAGGTTTGGGGTTTGTTTCTGCTCTTGTCTGTTGATTCTGAGCTTCTTTATACTCATAGTTTCTCGTTGGATTCTGTTTCTCATACACCTAAAGGAAAGCTGAGAATAAGACAGACGGCTGGTGACCTCAGGATTTGCAGTGCTGAGGAAAAGGGCACAGGGCACAGGGCTGTGGTGATTTGCCCGCACTTGCTCGTTGCCTCTGGTGACTGCTCACGGGAGGTGCGTCGTTGCTAGCATTTACCAGTGGGAAAGTGAGGCTTTGGAAGGAGCACAGGCTATGGAGCTGGTGACTGTGGAGCTCGGCTCCTTCCTCTACTGTCTCCGCACTTGTTGCACTTGTCCGAGTAAAGGACACCCATGGGTCACTCTGCCTCAGCCTGTCAAGGTCTCGTCTTGTGACCGCCTGAGGATGGTCATCACTTTTGGTGGGGCCCAGACGGTGTGGGCTGTGGTTTTCGACGCAAGCAGCATGGATATTTAGACACCTGATATAATGAACAGAGCTGGGCGTGTGGCAGTAGAGCTGTCAGAGATAACCTGGAGTTCAGTGAGTCGACAGAAATAATTTTTGAAAGTTTAAGTAACTTTATCGATAACAGCATTCATTTGTGCACTTACTCACAGTAGCACAAAGTAAGAGTCACCGAAATGGCCAGCGCAAGGAAGATCAGCCAAACATGAGTGTCTCCATTTAGCGTAACAGTGTACAGCAGGTGGAACACGAGCTACACCCAGAAACGTGCTTGTGATAGGACTTAGCTTGAATGGCAGGACAGACCGTTTATAGAGTATGTTCTCCTCTTTGAAAGAGGGAGGAAGACTGCAGGGAACAGTAGTTTTAGGCTCTTTTTTCTATTTTTTAAATTAAGTTCTTAGTAACTTCTCAACTTTTCTACTAAAAGTATGGTTTACTGTAGTAATTAAGAAAAATTTGGAAGGATGCGAGCTGTGTGGGGAGAAGGATACATTCTGCTGGGTGGAGCTCAGGCCCTGCACATCGCTGGTGGATCATTAGGGTTTGTGTGAGAGCACTGGGGGCGATGAAGTTGTGATTGCTGCTTGGCAGGGCCACTCTAGGGACGGGGAACGGGCAGGGGGACCAGGGAGGGGCCAGACGTAGGGCCTTCTGCTTGCTTGTGAAGTTTCTTTTCCTCAGTGGGGTGATGGGTACGTGAGAATCCATTAGGTTATTTTTTTATACTTCTTTTGATGCCTGAAGTACTTCATGATGTTCTGTCTCTTCTTTTCTCTAACACCCCCAAAAAACCTTAAAAATGAGTCATAACGTGATCGCGACATTACACGGTCCTAAAAGAAAAAACCACTAGCACTAGTTCTGAGGTCAAGCCAAAGCCAAACAAGAATCAGGGTTTGAAACCCGAACTCAGATCGCACAGTCCCATTGTGACACTGAGCGTGGGCCCTGTGGACTTGAGCCCCAGTGGAGGGCAGTCCTGCAGAAGACCCTGTGGTGCCGTGAATGTCTCCGGTGGACAGTACTCCCCTTTTATACCATTGTGTTCCACCAGGCCCAGAAGCACGCCTCTCAGGCTGTTCCTTGGAGGCCATGAAATGTTTCTTCATTTTTCAAGCTAAGAAATAAGTCCCTCCCCCAGCTACCCTAGGCGTCATCGGCAAGACTTGAATTGAAAGTGATTTTGCTTTGTTTTCTACCAACTTAATCTTATTGTCTCTTGCTTGTCATTCAACTGAATTGGAGCAGGTGCAGTGTAGACGGCTCTGGTGCAATACGAATAGAAAAGCTCAAAGTTGCCAAACGCTACACACGCCCTGGGCTGACGGGACAGAATGTGATCCTGGAAAGGCAAGTAGCACCCCATTCTCTCCCGTTTTGGGGTAGAAGCGTGCAAGATGGGGCCAGCATTCAGGATGCAAGATAGTTCAGTCTGACCGAGTATTTTTTGAGGAGAGTTTGGCGTACTGTTGACAACTGTAAAACCTCCCAGCCGGCACGGCACTCACCCCAGAGGTGTGACTGTCGCTATGGCCTCAGTATTAAGACTCTCAGTGCACGACTTTCTCTCATCTCAACTGTCCTAAAGTCCCAGTGTCCTTCCGAACTGAGGAGTACATGTAGTGGGCAATCGTGTTTCCATCTTCTTCTCTTTCGCTTTAGGAAGAGGCATTGGGACACAACTCTAAAGTTAATGGAGCATCTTAGAATCTAGGAAATACGGAAGTACAGTAAGCTGACTGTGTTCGTTAATGTGCTGCCAGGTCCTTCCCAAGCTGCGCTCGTCGCTTTGAGGATCTACCATGTCACCAGTGCACATAGCCACGCTCGGTTCTCGCGAGCTGGTTAGAATGGTTCCCGCTGGTTTGTTCGTAACTCACCTGCATCTGCAGTTTGTGTGGCCAGTGCTGAGTGTCCATACACCTGGGGGTGTGATTCACTGAATCTCCTGCACCTGCTGTGCATCTGAGACAGTGGAGCTGGATCAGCAACACTGTCACCATCGTCACCCAAAAAAGTCTGGTCACAAATTCTAGGTATAAATCCTGATTTTAAAAAGTAACCCATGGGAATACCGACAGTCTGCCATTTACCAGTGGTACAGTCCCGGGACTGCACTTCTGAGACCTGCCATCTTCATAAAGTTTCCTTTCTGTCTTCTTCCCATTGTCCATTATACTCTGTAATAATTTATTCACACCTCAGTTCCTTTTCCTCCACTTCACCTTGTAGAATTAGTAGCACCTAGAGGGTCTCCTTGGAAGGGGCCCTAAGAGGTAACAGAATTTTATTCTCTCTCCTTGATTTCATAGGGAACTGAAAAACAAACAATGATTTGCCTAAGGTCACTCAGATCCCTGGGGTGGCGCTGCCTGCAGCTCCCCAGACAGGCCCTTGTTCTGTCCCCTACTGCATCGGAAGGGACAGCAGAGTTGAGTAAGGTCAGGGGCCTTAGCTCGGCTCACAGCTCACTCAGTTTGCACTGGCCGCACAGGAGGACTCATGGTTTTTTCTCTCACTTCCCAAGGTGGCTGGTTATAAAGCTCAGTGAGTACGGGGGCAGGAGTTACTAGGTTAACTCATAATGAAGATGATTTTGTATTTGACTTAAACTAGTGACAAAGTCAACTCATGTGACTTCTCCACGGCTGTGACAGCCACAGTTGACAGCGCAGCTGTCCCAGGAACAGTCTGTATAGTCATAATAGCTTTTGGAATTTGTGTTACCCTGAAAAGAAATTTGTGTCTTTGCCCAGAGAGTGAAGCTGCACCTTTTGTAGCACATTGCTTAGTGTGTTGGCGGCCACAGGATCACAGGTGTGTGTGGGAATCTGTTTCTCTGGCTTCCGTGGCAGTCGTTACACGTGGACATGGTGACACTTACACAGTCGAGATAGGGCCTCAGAATCCTTCTAGACACAGTGACCAGACGGCTGCTAACAGTGGGCAGGAGGTGACAATCTACTTGACATCTACTGGAGTTTGGGTAGTTGGCTTGGACTGAATCTGTTTGCTCTCAGCAGAACCACTCATACCGTGTTGTGTTTCCTAGTCAACCGGATGCCCCCATCGTCTGGATCTATTCCTGACATACGTTAGTGCTGGAAAAACCACAACAAAGTTTCTCGGGAAGATGATGAAGTGACTTGTGTTGAGTGACACTGTCATGAGCAGGCTGCCTGCGTCCGCAGTGGTGGACTTCCCAGCCACTTCGGGAAGCGTGCAAGGGTCTGCTCTGACTTTTCCTGATCGACCTGTGCATATGAAGCAGAAGTGGAGGGACCGTGGGGTAACCTTACAGCTTTTGAGGGAGAGGACAGGGAGTGATTGCAGAGGCCCCTATCTCATGCGTTTGTGTCCAGCGAGAGCAGGAGGTTCTAAGCATTCCAAGGGACAGACTCTGGACACGTAGGAGAGCAGCTCTGCAGAGGAAGTGATAGGTGTGTTGTTAACCGTATTTCAGGAGGGTGGGCAGATAGACCTAACAGCTTTCGTAAAAGATGTGGGTATATTAAAGATGTAGATATATTGTCTTGGTTACTTTTCTCTTTTGTTGCTGAGACAAAATACCCAACACTCAAAATTAAGGAAGGTTTATTTAGCTCACAGTTTGTGGATGTTTCAGTCCATACTTGGCTGGCTCCAAGGCAGGGTAGCACATGGCAGAGGACAACAGTTCATGGTGACAGAAAACAGCAAAAGCAGCAACAGCGAAACAGGAGGAGCAGCAGCAAGCAAACCTCCTTCCCTCCCTTATATTGTATGCAGGCTGCCCGTCCCAGAGCGGGTGCAGCACTCATACCCATAATCCCAGCGTTGGACCATGAATCAATCATAAACTCTAGACGCCTCCGCCATGACTGCATGAGGCTTTCGGGGACACCCAGGCACAAACCATAACACATACGTAAATACTCTGACAGTATTTATGCATTTTATAAACAGAGGATGGATATACTGGCATGAATCTCTTTGTGATTTTTTGTTTTGTGTTGATTTCATAGAATTGGCAATCTGTGCCTTCTATGTGTGAGCAAATTCTGATTCCCTTTGCCGCTAGGTTGGTCTCCCCCCTCCCCCCACTTCTCTGCCCCTCTCCCTCCCTCTCTCTTTCTCCCTCCCTCCCTCCCTCTCTCTTCCTCCCTCCCTCTCCCTCCCTCTCTCTCTCTGTCTCAGGCTGCTGGCACAGTGCTATTTCAACAAATGACTCACTAGTGTCTCTTTATTTTCTCCCTTTTCTGGTTAAGTCCATAAACATTTTCATTTTAACCCAGTTCGTGAGACTGAGGTTAGAAACTTTCGTTTCAAGCCTTCTTGGAACAAAACTGACCTTGAAGTCCCCTTTCTAGAATTTTTAGAAGATGCATTCATGTAAAGTATCACTTAAACGGTTTTGGACACTTTCAGGAAAGGCTGACTTTATTCTGGCTGCGGTTCCACCCGCCGCTTACCGTGCTGGTGTGATGCAGTGGCTGCTCCAGAGGCAGGCAGTTCATCAGGTGCGCCGGTGAGAGACCCCCGGGGTGCGTGTTTCCCACACAGCCCCCCTCAGCCTGCGCGCCTCATCCCCAGGTCCTAATGGTTATGCCACGAGGAAAGGTTTAATTTGCAGACCTGTTTTCAATTAGGATTTTCATTTCATAAGGGGCCGTGGGGATGTTTCAGCACCGTTCTGAGGGGGAGCATGCTGGCAGGCCTCGGGCCTGCTGTGGTCTGAGTTCGCGGTGACGCTGATGGGAAGCGCAGCGTTCACGCGGAGCTTGCTGTTGCGTGGAGGCGGCTTCCGCAGGCTGGAGAGGTCAGGAAGTGTACGTGTGCGGCGCCCACAGACGCGTGGCTTCGTTGGCAGTTCCAGCCTTTCCGGAATGCCCCCTTCGTCCACCGTGGGGGCAGCGCGCGCTGTACTCCAGTGTGTGCTCTTTTAGGCTATTCGTCTGTGTTTGCTCTCATTTCTGCCCGTTGCTGAGGTCTGGCAGTGACCCTTCTGCATCTCCACTTTCTTTTCTCTGGACACGCGGGTGTTGTCACCTGCTTCATAGCGTGGTGAGGTCGTGATACAAGTGAGTAACCCTTATGTGAAGTGCTTGAGACCGGAAGTGTTTCAGCTTTCAGACGTCCTTGGATTTCAGCATATTTGTGTATGCAAGTATATAATGAGCTACCTTGGGCATAGGACCCAGTCTAGACACCGAATTCACCTATGTTTCACATGCACTTCGTACGCAGAGCCTGAGGACAGATTTTATACCATACTTTTTAGTGTTCTTTTGTTTTGACTGTTACCTACCACATGATGTCAGGTGTGGGGCTTTACGTGCGGCCTCGTGTTGGCACTGAGAACATTTTGGATTTTGGAGCATTTCCGGTTTTGCATTTTGGGGCTGGGGTGCCACACATGAAGTGGTCCCCTTCCCTTGCTGTTTAGTGTGTCACCCGTGTGCCTAGCTGCATCCCGGGTGCCTCCTGTCACGCTGCGCAGAGCTGTGGCAGGCGTCTCCCATGTTCCACACTGGAAACAGGCTTCTTTGACTTGCTAAAGCCAGCAATGGTTTTTGCAAGAACCGCAGTTCCAGCCAGACCTGTCTCCCTGCTGACCTTTGCCCCTGTAGACCTGCTGTGTCCTCTGTGACAGCCACTAGTCATTGGTGGCTGTGGGGCACTTGGTCAGAGTTTAGCTATAAACAACCCCAGGTTCTGAAGATTTAGCATGGATAAAAACAGTACAGTACTTTTTATTTATTTTTGTTGTTGTTTCTTTCTTTTTAATGGTACCGGGAATCGAACTCAGGACCTTGCGCTTGCCAGGCAGGTGCTTGTGCCACTGAGCTATATCCCCGGCCCTGGATAAAAACAGTGCAGAAATTCTCTGGTCTTATCCTCTGAGATATGCTCCAAGTTGTTTTGCAGATGCCTGATGTCCTGGCTAGTACTGAACTGTATGCATGCTATAGCTTTTCCTATACATATATACGTACTCATGATAAAGGTGAATTTATGTATTCACCACAGAAAGAGAAATAGAAATAACTACTAACAGTTAAAACACTTCTGCATTGTGTAGCAGACCTTATTTAGGACTTATTTCTGGAACTTCCCGTGTGTATTTTCTGACTGATTGACCCCTTGTAAGCCGCAGTTCAGAAAACGAAGCTTCCATGAGAGGGGACAGCTGTCGTGATTTGCAGATTGAGAGCTGCAGAAGTAGTGGTTTTGCAGACATAGTAGGGTAAATAGAATACATTAGAATCTATTTCAGGTTTTTCTGCTTGTTACAACGTGGCTTCTAAAAATTGTGGTAGGGTTACATACGTGGCTTGTGTTTCATTTCTCCAAGAGAAGTGGGCTCCAGCTGCCTCTGTTTATTTCTGTGTACATCTATTCCAAGAGGTGGTGACAGCTACTGTAAAGACAAATATAAAGTGACCTCCAGGGAGGGGTGTGGCCTTCTGCCAGCGCACACTCCTTGCATTCTGCGCTACCCAGGGTGTGGCGCAGAACCTTTGCTTCAGCCGCAGCCTACACAGCCCAGGGCAGGGGCCGAGCCCCAGCGCCTTCCGAGCGTGATTACCAGGGAGGGCCGGCCAGAAAGCAGAATTGCACTCTGCAAATAACTGGTCGCCCGCCTGCCCGAGGGGTAGGGCTGCTCCTCCTGTGAGCTCCGCCGTCCCTTCCCCCCCCCTCCCCGGTGCTCCACCCCGGGCCTCCACCCCGCTTCTGCGTCTCCCTGAGAGTGAATCAAGGCCACCCCGCCCCCCTCCAGAGATCTGAGCGCCGCAGCGTCCCCTCCTGCCACCACTCTTCCCTTGTCCACGGCTCGGTGACTTTAGCCCGTGTCTCCGCCTCACGCCCATCAGTGGCAGAGGGTTGGAGTGGGCTTTCTGCACCCTGTCCTGCTTTTGTTTTAGTATTATTATTATTTTTTGTACATCGTGGCCTTTTTCCTGCCACAGGCTAGAGTTCCTGAAATCATTAGTAACAAAAGAGTAATGCAGCTTGGACTCTGACGTGCTTTAGTCTGCTCCTACGTGCTTTCTTGGAGTGCGTTTACGAAAGTCGTGCAACTAGCGCCCTCTCTCCCTCTTCCTGATTTAGTTAAATCCACGGGGACCGATACAGCATTATATTTTACACTCTCTCGACACCTCCAAAGATGTCCACGGAGATGCACTGCTCGGGTGCTGCGCCCGTTCTGTCCCATTGACCTCTGCTCTGCCCACTGGCGCTCAGTACCCAAGTGCGGGCCGAGGTGGACCGTTCCCCCACCCGCCTCAGCCATGCGCTCCCAGCCAGCTGTAAATGCAGGCCCAGCCTCAAACCAGTAAGCGTGAGGTTAAAACCCCACCGTGTCCTTTATTCACACGAGTGGTGAGTTTGCGGCCTTGCACACCAGCACGGGAAAAGCGCTGCAGTCGGGTTGTCGCAACGGACAGCTGGTAGAGGGGGGGTTGCGACACCATCCTCTCCTCACTGTTCCCCTTGTTAAACACAGCACTGCAAGTTTGGATTTTGTGTTCCCAAAGACATGGAGGTCCCCGTGGTCGATGGATCCTGGGGAAGCTGGAGTCCCTATGGAACCTGCTCGAGAACCTGCGGCGGGGGCATCAAAACGGCCATTCGTGAGTGCAACCGGCCAGAGTAAGTCCTAGAGCGGGCCTCTCCCGCTGGGGGAGGGGGAGGCCTGAAAGGGAATGCAGGGTGGGGCTCTGGAGACCTCGGGGAAGGGCTCCCCGGACTCACGCACGGTCCCCCGGCTCCTGCTGCTGCATTACCGTTTTCTCCCCAGACCCTTCAGGGTTGTGTCTGTCTGCTGGGTGATGCTTTTGCCAGTGGCTGACGTGTTCCACGAGTGTATGATGTAGAAATAATCTGACATCTTTATTCCTACCCACGCCCAGTTTAATCCCATGAGAAATTATCCTGATACGTGATTGGATGTGTGTCTTCAGACTTTCAGACATATGTACTGCATGGCATAAGTATTGTGTAGTGTAAAGTAAGATTAATATGCTTTGTAAACTCAACTCTTGCTGGATATAGCCCAGCGGCACAGTGCCTGCTTGGCAAGTACACAAGGTCGTAAGTTCAATTGCCGGTACCAAGAAAAATAAAATAAAATAAGGTAAACTCAACTCTATATCTTAGCTCTTTGAAGTTTAAAGCCAGGTCTCTTAATCTAACTGCAGATGTTGTCATTTCTTTCCAAACTGAAAAACTACCATTTCTATTGGGCAAAATTATTATTGTATAGCAATTGTTACTATTTTTCAAATAGGAGACACTTTATAATTATTTTTAAATTTGATTCCAGGATATTCCATTCAAAAGAAGCATTCAGCACTTTTTTGTGTTAGGATTTTCTCCCTTTTTAGAATTTTAAAGGAGTCCTAGAAGTAATGTGGAGAGATATAAATCACTCCATAATCAGACAGGCTAGACAAAGAAACTCACCCGGTGTGAAGCTGTTGGCAAAAAGGATCTTGAGCTTCAAAGTGAAACAGAGATCCTTCCATTCAGAAGTTAAGAAGTGGATCTCGTTAAAGACCTAAAGGTCCTCTCCTTGCTGTTTATGTGGGAGATTTGAGGACAATGCCACCCAGCTGAGTTCGGGCACTGACACCGTGTCGTTAAGACTCCTGCGGTCATCTTCACGTTAGGATGTCCCTGTTAACTGGGGAAGGAGGTGACTCTGGACACTGCAGGAGCGGGTCGCAGGGACCCAGGCCTCAGTGCAAAGCCCACAAGTAGACGATTGGTGAGGAGGGCTGAAGTGGTGCTCTTGTCCTTAAGGAGTCAAGGCAGGAGCCAGGCGTGGAGGCGCACGCCTGTAATCCCAGCACTCGGGAGGCTGAGGCAGGAAGATCGTTGTGAGTTCGAGACCAGCCTAGGCTACATAAGTGAGTTCAAGGCCAGCCTGGACTGTATAGTGAGACCCTGTCTCAAAAAAAAAAAAAAAGAAGGAGTCAAGGCAGCAGAACCCTTTTCTGGGAACCCACCTGCGTGAGGTTTGACTGGTCCTGAGAACATAATGTCACGCTCCATTTCTACGATCCAGGATATGTTTCTAGTAAGGTCACTGGAGTATTTCTTTTTTTTCCATAATATTGGTATAATGTAAGACTGTATTTAGTTAGCATGCAGACATCTGATGCCATGCTTTTAAAGTGTTTTCTCCTAAAAGAAAGAAAGAAACCCAAAAAGTAGCTTTGCTGTGCGTGATTGCACTGTCTTGACCGAGCTGTAGAAACCATACGCTTTCTAATTTTGGACCCCAATTATGCTTTCTGGTTTCGGCTCTCCAGTTTTTTTGGGCTGAACTGGTATGCAGTGGTACAGATTGGGCTGCTTATGAAATCTTCCTTTAAAAAACATTGATGATACATCTGTTTCATCCAAAACAACAGACTTTATTTTTGGCTGTAAGAATAGCAGCAAAGCTTTTTTTGAAGCAGTTAGTTAGGATGGGCTTTTTCAACATGGAAGAACCACTGATCGTGAAGAAGCACAGGCATCCAGGCTGCGGACTGCCCCCTTTGGGCCGGCTGTGTCCCTTGGCATCAGCGCTCCCTGCAGGTGTCCCCCAGGCCCCTCCTAGCCACCTGCAGGCAGAAGAGCCACGCTGTCTTCCGGGTTGACCTCACGGCTAACCCAAATCTGCCTTCCCTGTTCACTGTAAACAGCATAAATGTTGATATCACGGGGAGAATACACCTGTGATGCCCTTCGCAGGGGCTCCGTCCTAACACTGGCTGCACACTACCCCATTCCCTCCGCAGTCAGGTAGCGTGGCCATGGACATACGCTGGGAAGCCAACTTGGCTGTATAAAATAGTAGTTCATCTAGCAATTGTCCTGAAGCCTTTCCGTCCTGATGTAGCGTGCAATATCTTTAAAGGATCATATCAGTTGGAAAATGTGGTTAACATTATTTTTTAAATCTGTGCTTTTTGTAATTTTCAGTATTTGCCTAAATGGAAAAAAGTAACTACCCAGCTAAATTACTGAATTATAAGATTCATTTTTTCCATGCCGAAAGGTTTGTTGGCTTAGCTTTTCGTATCACACAGCACATGCAGATCAGACGGAAACCACATCGTCTTGGACAGAAGCAACACCATACGGTTCAAAAGGGCACATCTACACTCCCTGCAAATGACAGTCTGTCTTTACATAAAAAGCTAAGAAGGTCACGGCCCAAGTTTTGGTTCGGGAAGAACCCTCCCTCAAGACAAAGTTTGGTTCGGGAAGAACCCTCCCTCAAGGCCTGGCAGCAAGGCCAGGTCCTGGGCCCTGGGCTGGGAGAGCCAGGTGCCCTTCTCAGCAGCTCCTCCTGGTTGCTGCCGTACTTACCCTTTCTGAGCTCAGGTCCCTGCCAGTGGACGGCGATTTTCCTCCTACCTGTGAGCAGCGTTGTGCCCAGGGACAGGAGCTGGGAAGGGGCTAGTGACACAGAATAGCTCCAGACTCAGAAAACCCTTTCCATAAACAGCCAGAGATGAGTATTGTAGGCTTTGCAGGGTATGTGGTCACTGTAACTACTCAGCCTTCCGGACCGAGTGGGAAACATTTTGTAAAAGAAAACTATGAAAAAAGAAAAAAAAAACTATGAGCATGGCTACGGTGCATTAAAACTTTTTTTTAGACAGTGACATGTGAATTTCATAAGTTCTCATGTGTCATGAGATGCTATTCCTTTAACATTTTTCAGTTACGCCATGCAAAAACAGGCAGCCGTCAGATACATCTCATGCCTGTCTTTTGTGGAACTGTATAATAGCTGAGCGTTCGTTAAACACTTACTATGTGCCAGGTGTTGTCCAAGTGCTTTGAGTGTCCTAACCAAGCTGTCTCCAGAGCCCTAGGAAGTAGGTTTTACAGGTAAGGAAACTGAGGCTCAGCAAGAGGAGATCCCTTGCGTGACACTGCGTCTTTACCGAGTGTCAGAGTTGGATTCAAGCCGGTTCCAGAGCCCATGTCCTCAGCACATTGCCCCTCACACATAGTGTTTTTGTGCTGTTTATTTTAAGTCAGTCTCTGTAGGAATAAGTCACAAAATGCCCTTTCGCATTTTCCAGGCAAGCAGAGGGGGAAACTGCTGCCAACTGAAGGGAAGCCAGCTAGAAGAAAGAGATACTCCATCCATAGAGCTCCCTTGGATGAATGTCCAGTGTCACCTGAGCCCTATTGTAGGAGAGAACAGAAAGCACTTAAAATGTTTCCTTTTTTTGTCTTTTGAGATGGGTCTCGCTATGCAGTTCAGGCTTGCCTTGAGCTCACTTTGTAGCCCAGGCTGGTCTCGAACTCGGAATGACCCTCCTGCCTCAGCCTCCCAAGTGCTGGGATTACAGGCATGTGTCATCACACCCAGCCAAATATGTTTCCTTTTCAAAAGGAAAAAATGCTACATAATTTTAGGCAGTCAATAACTGATCCACCGTGGTCAGTTGGGACCATTAAAGAGATTCCATAAAATCATTTCCACCTGAGGAAATTATTGGAATGACTTACAGTACATTTAAAGCAAGTTTCTCCTGAGCAGGTGTGTGAGCCGGCTCGTTATTCATATGTAATCTGTGGTGATTATGCATGAGTCTTGGGTTCCTTGATTCCGAGAGAAGGGCTAGGTACCAGGAAGCCAAGTGTACATCCTTCAATGGCCCTAAAAAGATAAACACAAGACTGGTCCACAGCAGAAAGAACCGGAGTCCTGGGCAGTGTGGATTCCAGCCCTAACCCTGCTCTTCCATTAACAAAAGCAGAGCATTTAACTTCTCTGAACCTCCTTCCTGTCTCTTGGTATAAAGTACCTCCTCTACCCTACCTACCCTGGAGCAAGAAATCAAGGTTCTGGCAGGTCTGGTGTAGAATACAGATACTAAGCACACAGCCTTCCCTGTGTTTCATGGGGAGACAGACACGCCCTGCTGTGTTGTGTGCCGTGCGTATTCCAGGGGAGTCTCCGTCGTGTATAAGGACATGTGGGAGCAGCCCTGCGGTGTGCAGCGTCTGGTCTGGTCTGCCTCACGTGTGAAGGGGGAGCCCCAAGAGCTGGGGAGCTCACGGAACGCCACTTGCTTGGACCTGGAGGCCCAGGCTTTTCTCTTACTCTGCACACCTTTGACCTCAGGAGCACACGTATCTTGGGCTGAGGAAAGGCTTCCTGGTGGCCCTTCCTGCCCTGGGTGACCTGCGGAGGAGCACCCACTGCTGCCCTGCCTGCCCAGGCTCGGAAGTCAGTGGACGGTTGGTGAAGTCAGGTCAGGTTGGGTGGTCCTGGCAGAGAAGACCGTGTAGCCGGTGTTTTCTAGCATCTGCTGTGTACTCATTTTAAAGAAGGAAAATTGAAGCTCGAGGAGGTTAAGAACGTAGTCTGGCCACGTAGTAAGGACAGGATAGGACAGGACAGGTCCCACCTGCGTTCGTTCCATCATTCATGGTCATAGTACGTTGCCCAGTCCCTAAAGCCTCCGTTTTGACAAAACAAAGCCCGTTTCTTATCGCCAGGCTTGCTTGGAAAGAGTCGTCGTAAAGAAAAAAGGTGGGGTTTTTCTTTTGGTTCTAGGGGTGTCCTTAGGATAGTTGTGAGTCTCAGCTTCCCCTGCCCATGGCCGCACCCCACGTCCTCTGATTCTGGGGTCTCCCCCATGCACGTGATGAACCTGCTGGCAGGTATGCAACGTAATAACCCTGGGTGCCCCCCCGGAGAGTTCATGGACAGCGGCTCGTGCCGAGCTGAAATCCACACTGGTGTCTTCCGGTATATCGGTATGCTCTGCCAGGAAGGCACTGAGACCAGCATTCTCAATCCTGGTTTTCCTGTTCTCTTAGCCAGTGTGTGGACACGTGCCCTCTATCTCATTTTATTTGTAAAACAAAACAAAGAACTCAGTGGGTGTTGGGACGGGGGCAGCGGGACAGTGGAGGCGGAAGGGCACGTGTCTCACTGGTCTCCCTGAGCATCTCCAGGTGCGGAGCTGCTTGATGTCCAGCCCAGTAGCCAGGGAGCCACCAGCTACTGAGTGCTACGGGACCCTTCTGCGCTTTTAAGATTGGGGCAGAGGAGTGAAACTGACCAAGGAGGAAATGTACACTTTACGCGTCCCTCCTCAAGGTGGAAGTCAGTACAGATCACCTTCACAGTGTTCTCCAGGGGTCACCACCCCTTCCGTGGAGGCAGGGGCTGAGGCTGCAGGGGTTGGGGAGCACTCCCGGACATACCGAGCGCAGAGCCGCACAAAGCCCTTGCTGGAGGCAGAAGCAGACTGAGGCTCGGCAGCCGCTGCCCTGCCCCTGTTGTTTGCCACCTTCAGTTTGTGTCCCCGGAAAGCAGAAAGTCCTGAGGTAGAGAGTGCTTGGTGGAGAAGCACATTATAATACGGTGTGCATGTTCTGATGTTTCCTCAGGCCAAAAAATGGTGGGAAGTACTGTGTAGGGCGCAGGATGAAGTTTAAGTCCTGCAACACGGAGCCGTGCTTCAAGCAGAAGCGGGACTTCCGCGAGGAGCAGTGTGCTCACTTCGACGGGAAGCACTTTAACATCAACGGTCTGCTCCCCACCGTGCGCTGGGTCCCCAAGTACAGCGGAAGTAAGTGCATCAGGCGGAGGCGGCAGCGGGCAGGCCGCTGTGGGCTCCAGGCGTGAAGTCGCCTTATGTCCTGTTTCTCCTCTCTAGTTTTGATGAAGGACCGGTGTAAACTCTTCTGCAGAGTGGCCGGGAGCACAGCCTACTATCAACTCCGAGACAGAGTGATAGATGGAACTCCCTGTGGCCAGGACACGAATGATATCTGTGTGCAAGGTCTTTGCCGGGTAAGTTCCGGAGAGCCTCTTCTCCGCTTGCTGTCCCACTACCGTCACGGGGCTTGTGGCTTTCTTGGTGGAACAGCTGTTAACACTGTCTGGGTGGTTTCGCGGGCGTGGTTCTAAAAATGTGTTTCCTGAGCCATCACTAGCATCAGCATCCCCTGCCCTGATGCACTGGGCGCCAGAGTTTGAGAACTGCTGCCCCAGACGATTCTTGAGACGTTTTCAGCCCCTGGGAGGCTCTGCGCAGATCCTCCCGTTGGAGATTTATGGTACCAGTGTGTGCACATGCTCACTTTTCTGAGTGCTACGTTAATCCCGAATTCTTCCTGACTGCAAGTTCCTAGACTGAACAGCTATGCTATATCTAGAAAGGTGTCAGGAGGAAAAGATGTCCTCCGATTCCTCTGCGTGATCTCGGCCACAGTTGCTTTGACCTGAGTCATGCCTGTTCATTATTCTTGGCAAGTTGAGAGGTCTGGCAGATCGCAAAGCATGAGGAGGAGATTTCTCAAGGGCCTGGTACCCACCCCTTCGCTGCCTCCCTGTCAGAATTCATCGCTAACGCAGCCGGGCTGAGTGGACGTGTGTGCTGCTCACACATGGTCCGGGGGCAAACTGGAGTTCCTGGTCTGGAGCATTTGACTGAAAGCCCCGCCTGCCGTGTCCTTCTCAGTCCGGGGCATAGGAACATGCTGGGTTTCTCCTCCAAGATTAGTTCGTTCAAAGGAACAAAATGAGCGAGCACATGCACACACTTCTCGGGGCCTCTGGTCCTGCTGGAGTCCTGGGCCTCCCTGTGTTGCTCTAGCACTGTGCGCGGTGCAATTCCAGAGGCAGGAGACCGAGTGGAAGGCTTCGCACTGGCCACCCGTGGCCATGCTGTGCGCTGGGCCAGTACGCAACACGGAAGATGACACGTACAGTCACATTTTCCACTTCTCCCAAAAAACTGGAAAAGTCAGTACTGGGCTTCTCCTTCTAAATGCCGGCAGTAGCTGCAGTGGTCCGGGGCTTCTCCCTTCAGGTAAAGCGTGAGTTCTGTCGTCAGATGCCATCCTCCCCGCTGCCTACTTTCACTTTTTTCCGTGGCAGTTTTTCTCAATTCCTCTGATTATTTGTAGATGTGTGTTTCTCAGCCTTCAGCCCACAGTCTGACTCAGTGGATCTGGGTGGGCCCTGAGGTTGTGTGGTCCTAACTAGCACCAGGATGCCCATGGCTGCTGCTCCAAGGACCACATTTTAAGTAGCAAGGATGTAGACAACTTGAATTTTCAATCAACCCTTGCAGGTTTAAAGGAATGTCGCTTTTCTTTTGTCATTTTGAAGGCATAGCATTGAGCAAAATACTTTACTCACCGCTCTATTTTCTCTTTAATGCTGATCATTCATTTCAAATGTTTTCTTTTAAAAAGCAAGCTGGATGCGATCATGTTTTAAACTCCAAAGCCCGGCGAGATAAGTGTGGTGTTTGTGGTGGTGATAATTCTTCGTGCAAAACTGTGGCGGGAACATTCAATACTGTACATTATGGTAAGAGTCTGCTTCAAGAAGCACCGGAATGAAAAGCTTAAGATCTGTTCACCACATGTAATATGTGAAAGTACTGACATCCAGTGTAATGGCATTCTTGCTGCGTACATCAGATTATCTGTCTAGCTGAAGGGACCTAACAGTGAGAAGAACTGTATGTCTTTGTGGCCTACTTTCTATTCTCTTGTTAAAGAGAGTGTGCCATGCATGGAGAGCTGACCTTTTGCTACCTTCCTCTAGGTTACAACACTGTGGTCCGAATTCCAGCTGGTGCTACCAATATCGACGTGCGACAGCACAGTTTCTCAGGGAAATCCGAGGATGATAACTATTTAGGTGAGTCGGTGCTCCTGCCGTCTGCAGGCACCTGGCTTTCCGCAGCTGCCTGTGTGCTTCCCTCTTTGCTCCCTGGCATGTGGCAAGCTTTCAGTTGTCACAGTTCTCACAGCTGCTGACGTCAGAAATCATTATTTTATTTCATTCTTGTAACCACACCCTCAGAATACTGACTCAAGGGTTATGTCATTGCGGTGTTCAGTATCAAGGGATTCACTCTAGATTTTGCAAAATAGAAAGGCTCCAAGTCAAATGTTCTTGGTTTTTCTCCGGTACCGGGAACCGAACTCACGACCTTGCGCTTGCCAGGCAGGCGCTTTTGCCGCTGAGCTAAATCCCCAGCCCCTCAAATTTTCAAAATACTTACAGATTAGCATTTATTGCTCTCAGTGGGTCTTGTAAATCTGTCTGGTGGGTAAGTGAAGTGCAAATGTTTTCTTAGAGGCATTACTTGGCTTAATCCTTGAGTTATCAGCTCTTACCAGGAGCAGACCGCCAGCAGGCCTGCTGGGTATTATGTCTGGTCATTCTAGAAGAGTCTGTGCTGTCACCTGTTTTTCTCAAGTCATTACTAGCCTAGCCTGCTGTTATTTTATGAATTCCCCATCCTTCTCTCTGGATTAATTCATCTCATCCTTATATTTAACCACATAATTAATTCATATCTATTCCTCATATTTAAACCATAACACACCAAAGACCCTGTGTTGATTTGTAGCTGTTTGCCTGGTCCAGTTCCACTTAGTTGATTGTTTTCTAAACTGCCATAAGTGATTATGAAATTTGTCCAACTGCCCTTTACGAAGGGGACATGGGGGCTGCTGGGTGTCGGGGAGGGCCTGAGCTTGTCACCTTGCACACACCCCTCCTCACTGCGAATGCTGGCCAGGGCTGGCCCTCGGATTGGGAAGGAATTCGAGAGTCTCTTCTTTTTTTAATTTATTTTAAAAATAAAAGAAAGAAAACATATTAACAAACAGACGTCCATGTACAAAATAACATAAGAGCAATACAAGCAAGACCAGAGTTACAGACAAAGTGGTAGGAAATTAACAATGCTTGCTGTATGGAGAATCTTGGTGGGCAGTCAGTCTTCTGAGGAAATGAAGGTACTCCGTCTCTTTCTCTCTCTTTCTGTCTCTCTCTTTCTGTCTCTTTCTGTCTCCGTCTCTCTCTCTCTGTGTCTCTCTGTCTCTCTCTGTCTCTGTCTCTCTGTCTCTGTCTCTCTCTCTATCGCTCTCGAAGTACCCAGGTGTGGGAGTTCTGTTTACCCACCTGAATATACCCTCCGTGGAGGTTTAATCCGAGCGCTTGGACATACTGAGCTAGTTAATGAGTGTTTGTCCAGTCAGATTAGAGCCTCCATCTGTATTTTGAAATATCCACAGGAGCTTATGCATTGACAGGGTGACCCTCTCGCCAAGTGTGCTAATTAACTATAATATTTATGCATGATTCTTCTGTGGCATTTTCTGCTGTACGATACCATTCATTCACTTATTTAATATGCAGTAGCATTATTTTACACATAGTGAACAAAACAGACCAAAAAATAATGAAAATCTCCATCTTCTCAGCACCACCACCACCACCACCCCCTTTCGGTACTGGAGCTGGAAGCCAGGCCGTTGACACCGAGCTTCCCCAGCCCTTTCTTCTTTTTTCTTTTGACAGAGTCTCACTAAATCACTAAATTGCCCAGGTTAGGCTCAAACTTACGATCCTCCTGCCTCAGCCTTCCAGACTGCTGGGATTACAGGTGTGAACCACCACACCCTGCTTAATACTTTTTCATGGGAGGAGAGAAACAATTTAACAGTCAAACTCTGTACTGTTAGAAGGTGAAAAGTGGCATTGGAAGTCAGGGTGGCATGAAGGAAGTTGGAAACAAGGACGTCGGAAGTCAGAGGAAGAACAGGTGTTTGGGAAGAGCGTGGCGGGCGGGGAGTAGCCGTTGCCAAGTCTTTGAAGCAGGAACATGTCCCCACTGCAGAGCTGAGGGAGCCCAGGGTGGCCGTTGCTGTTTGAACACGGAGGACATTCCCGAATCCCCAGCTCACAGGACAGATCGTGTAGCCACTGCAGGGACCTGGGCTTGGATGCCCAGACGTGGGGCGCTTCTGCAGGTGCTGAGCCCATCAAGGACTTGATGCAGTGACATTTACGTTTTCAAAGGTGTTGTGGTATTAGGTGGAGCCCAGGTGATGGGAAGAGTGTTGGGCAGAGCGGTGATGCTGCTCAGGAGGCCACGCAAGAACCTAGAAGAGCTATGCAGATGAGCCGCTGCCCATGGCAATGTGGAGGTGGTAGGATGTGGAGGATTGCAGAGAGCTCTTAAAACTGGAGACCTCATGATTTGGTGATGGATATGGTGCATAAAGAGAGGAGTCCACGTTGTTTTGGAGTGAAAGAGAGTCAAAGACTCCCAGGTGTTGTTTGTTTGTTTTTGGTACCAGGAATCAAATTCAGGGCCTCGTGCTTGCCAGGCAGGTTCCGCGTCCCTGAGTTACATCCCCAGCCCGACTCCAAGGCTTTGACCTGAGTGTTGGAAAGGATGGCACCGGCATCCCCTGGTGTACGACTTGGCATTACTTGTCCATACGATTGCTGGCGTGTTGAAGTCAGGGCTGTATCGTTGCATCTTCAGCCCCTGACCCAAGCCCTGCAGGTAACGATCACTAAGGAAGCAGCTGCTGGATTGCTAAACAGATGACACTCATGCTGTCTTTACTGAGATCCCACCGGGTGCTCCACGGAGAGTGGGGTTTTACTCTGGAGACACAGATCGGTCCCTTCTGTCCGAGGCCGTGCAGTGCGGCCTTACTTAATCAGGTACTCCGTGGCTATCTCTACAGCTTTCTACAACTTTAACTATCCAGAGGAGTGGTAACTTCCTAAGAAAACTGGCAGGCTGGGGGTGAAACTCAGGGTTAGCGCACGTGCTTAGCATGCACAGGGCCCTGGGTTCAATCTCGGCACCACATACAGCAGAACTGAAAAAAGAAAATAATGGAGTTCTTAGGTACCATTTTCTCATTGTTTGGGGGAATCCCACATTTCCCATTCCACGATTGTGTAAAATGGGTCAAATATTTTATCCATGTCCTTGGCTATAAATGTGAGCATGTGTTTGCACGTCCTTACTACTTCCTGATTAAGTCAAGCGGCATTGCATGCAGTCTTCGTAAATTAATTTCCTGAGAGCTGGAAGCCACGTTGAGTGGCACTTTTCTTCTCTTCAAAGGAAAAAGGATTCACTTCTATTCTTCTCCTTGGGCAAATAATCCCCCTCCAAGTAGTGGCCTTAATTCATTTCAATTTAATCAACCCTTCTCAGGTACCTGGATTCAGGGTGGGCCTCCTGTAGCCTTTTATCCCTCCCTGGAGGTTTCTTAGTCTTCTCCTTGTAAGGAATGAAAACAAAATGAAAAGAGATTTGTCATCTGGGACAGGAGGTCTGAGCCATCCCCGCTCTTTCCTGGAGTGCTAGGGACAGTCAGCTGAAGACAGTCTCTCTCACGGTGAATGCACAGCGTACCCGAGTGTGGACAGCAAGTCGCAGTCCAAGGCGGGGGACACTGCGTGTGAACGTGGCTCCCGAGAAGGTGTTCAGGTGTGGGGGTGTGCGAATATTCACCCTGAGCTTGAAGGAAGGCGCAGCGAAGGTCCGAGGAGCCGTTACCCAGTCCTGGCACCCAGGCACTGTGGCTAAGCCATCTTCCACCTTCCCTGGTGGCTGGGTAAAGCTCCGTGAGCCATGCTGTTCCGGTGTGCTTTGCCGAGGGAGCCGGAGAGAGGCCCTGTGTGGAGCCCGGGTCTGATGGGTGCGACGGGAGGGAAGGCAGCCCAGGAAATTAGCTCCTCTAATCGCATTAGCGGGAGACTGAGCAAGAGGCTCTCGCCTTCAGGAAACTATTTGTTTCACAAGGTACTGGAGCAGAAAGTCTGCTGTCAGAGGTCCTGCTGTCAGGGCCCCGCCCTCCCAGTGGGCTCAAGTCCAGTCATCCCACGGCCACCATGTTCCTGTCTGTCCTGGAGAAGCAGCCATTTCTGTGAGACTCATTTGTCTGCAGGGCACTTACCCCTTCATTACTTGGGGCAATGGGAAGACAGGAATCGATTCAGGAGTGGAAAGGCAGGGATTTCCTTGCGTCTGGTGACTTGATAGATGCCGAGGGCTGCACTGCCTCTCAGAGCACATCCTGGGAGGGGCGCACCCCCATTTGAACTGCTTTCCCTCTGGCTCCCCACCTTTAACTGGGAGAAGGCGCACCAGTGAAGAACAGGGCAGGCGGCCCGGGCCAGTGTGAACGTGAGGAGAAGCCTGGAGCAGACCCCACAATGAACCCAGAAGAGACCTTTGCTCTGTGAGTCTGAGCAAAACTGGATTATCGCTTAATTTACAGACGCGCCATGTGACATGTTGCTTCCCCCTTTGTCAGCTAGCACGCAGTTTAACTTTAAAGAATTGAGTGGTTTTGTTGACAGCGTGTCCTGCTATTACCATGTAGTGACCGACCTTAGGGAGCAGCCCACGCTCCTTACGCCCCAGAAAGAACCTCGCCTCCCCTCAGTGACCCAGGGAAGCTCCCAGCTCACCTCCTACGTGGCTGGTGGTCTCACACTGAAGGACCCACAGGCACGAGGATGTTGTCTGAGCTTTACGTGACCTGGGACCGGTCATTTGGCTGGGACCCCTCTGCTGCCCTTGTCACAAATGTCAGCTTCAGTCACTCAGCCTTTAGCATCACTGACCGAGCACCTCCTAAGGGTTGGGGTCTTTCTTAGGTTTACAGACTAAAGTGAACTTTTAAATGATTTCTTTGCTAAAAGCTTCTGCGGTCTAGCAAATGAAGTCTTTAAATTTATAAAACTCCGTAACCTAAACATATTTGGCTTCTACTTGTATACAGAAGAAGAATGCATGACCTTCTTTCATCCAGCAAACATTTGCTGAGTCTCTTGGAAAATGTTAGCGGTTAACAGGCGCTAGAGACAGATTTTCACGATTAGAAGGCACCTGGCCTGGGGAGGGTAATTTAGATCTCTAAATCATGCTTCTGCAACCCTAACTTAGACCTCTCTACTGGGCCCAACCTCAAAGAGGTGTGACTGGGAAACTGCGGTCTGGGTGGGACGCACACACGGAGAGGTAGCCCAGGGAGAGAGGAGCCACTTTCCTAAAACGAAACCAGAAGTTTACAATAAACACCCAGGGCAAGGATGTGATTGGGGTTTTATCTTGAGAAAATAATCAGAGTACAAAAATAGGTTTATTTTGCCTTGTATTCAGCAAAACCATGTTTCAGTTTTGATCAGGCCAAAGTTTTTAGAATGGATACTAAAACAATCGTTAAATATTTTTGCCTACATCTTCCAGGAAGGTCATACAGTAGGAATGTAGTACCTTCTTTCACTGGAAATCTGAATTTAACAGGAACGTCTGAAAGGGAGGGATTGAGAAAAGTCCCTATGGCTTTATTACCCTGAAGTTCTTGATACTTTGATAAGCAACTTATTCCCTCAGAAGCAGCTGTGCTGTCAGTCTCAATGCCAGGTTTCTTTCCCTTTCTTTGATTTTTTTTTTTTTTTTTCACTTTTGTGAGGAGTATTTAACAACTGAAAACGGTCTGTATTCCAGGGGCACAGCCTAACCCGTTGCTGCACCTACACGTTGCGGTCAGTCACTGAAACCAGGAAACTGACTCGCCCCTCTCCTTGAGCAGTTACTGCTTTCTCCTCTCCGCGTGTGATGGCAATGCTTAGGCGCTGCCCTCCTCCCGAGCAGTCACCGTGCAGTCAGCGCCGAGAGCCCCAGAACTCACCATTTGTCCCCCATAACCGAGTCTCTGCATCCTTGGACGCGTGTCTCCCCGCTCCCCTCCTTCCAGCCCCCGGCGACCATCCTTTCACTTTCTGGCTCTATGAGTTTTACTATTTTGAACTATAATTTATTTACTGTTGTCAGGTCCTCTTTGGGTCCATAGTTTCACACTTGCTTCAAGCAGTTTTCCAACATTTCTTTTTCACCTTCATTGAATCTTTCTTCTTTTGCAAGGTTCACAGGAGATCCTTCAGTCTTGAAAACTAAGAGTGTTTATGGAGCACCCTGTGCTCGCAGCGCCAGCACCCTCAGCCTCAGGGCCAAGCCCTGGTTTATGCACGGAGCGCCTGGAGGAGAACTAAGGTGGAAAGGGCAGGGACTACAGAGTCTGTGCGGCAGAGGAAGGCACTGCAGTGTAAGAGGAAGGTCTCGGTGTATTGAGTGTTAAACTTTTACTGTGTAACAAGGTATCTCAAGGTGTGGTGGCTTACAGTGGCAAAAGCACAATGGTCAGGTCAGCTTCTCACATCTGGAACTTGGGAGTAGCCTCGTGGGGTGTTTGGGTAGGAGGTCTGGTGCAAGGTTGCCATGATGAAAGTTAAGGCTGTGGTGTCATCTGAAGGCTGGACTGGAGCTGCAGGATCTAGGTCTTGGTGCCTTACACAGAAGCTCTGGGCGAAAAGGCACGCTTCCTCAGCCCTGGGTGCCAGGGCCTCTACATGGGCACCTTCCCAGCCTGGCCGCTGGGCTTGGCTTTCCACAGCCAGAGGCTCCCAGGTGAGCAGGCAGAGCCACAGTCCCTTTGCTCTGGCTATGGAGCCACCCTCCGTCCTGTCTTCAGCATCCTGGCGACTTCGTCAGCCTGTTCAGTGTGGGAGGGAGGACAGCCCAGAGGAAGGCTTCAGGTGACCTGCGAGCATCAGATCGACCGTGTAGTTTCAGATTTCAGCATTGGTCAAGCAAGACCTAAAGACTATAGCTCAAGGAACTGTAGCATATGTCGACCGTGTGTATTCATGCAAGAACCACGTGTGTAAGTGTTCATCCATTGGTACACCCCTCCAAGTCAAAGTGCTGTTGTGTGCGTCTGTAACCCTGTAGCTGTGGGCTGTAACACACCCCAAGTTAACGACCTAATAGGCCTGTGTTACAGTTCCCTTTGTTTTCAGGGCCACCGTTGTTACCGCTATATTAGAAGTAGAGCTGGAGACAGAGAGGTAGAATGACTTTCCAAGCCCACACAGCTGGCATGGGGCAAACCAAGAGTGAGCTCAGGCTTGCTGGACTCAGAAGCCCCTGACCCTTCCACCTCGCTTGCCTCGATGCTCCTTCACATTCCACGCGGAGGTCACTGGCAGCAGGTCAGCAAGCTCTCTCTTCTCATCTGCAGCTTTGTCAAGCAGTAAAGGTGAATTCTTGCTCAACGGGGACTTCGTTGTCACAATGTCCAAAAGAGAAATCCGTGTCGGGAACGCACTGATTGAGTACAGCGGATCTGACAATGTGGTAGAAAGGATTAACTCCACTGACCGCATTGACCAAGAGCTTCTGCTCCAGGTAGAAACGTGGCCGTGAGCCCGCGCCCCTTTCTTTCCCCTGGGGGGGCCTGTCCCACAGACATCTCTCCCCCTGCCCCTGCGACTCCAGGTTCTGTCAGTGGGAAAGTTATACAACCCCGATGTGCGCTACTCCTTCAGCGTCCCGATTGAAGGCAAGCCGCAGCAGTTTTACTGGAATAGCCACGGGCCCTGGCAAGCGTGCAGCAAGCCCTGCCAAGGTATCTGCCTGGGGCTTCCGGTCTGGGGATGCGCGAGTGTTTTCAAAGCTCTATTTTCCTTTCTCGGGACAGCCACGTGGATGCAATCTGTACACTTTTCCATCTGCAGGATCCCCTAATGTCCTTTCTCTGACCCTGTCTGGTCATTTGGGGCCAGCAAGTTGAGCTTGTTAATGTTATGCTAAGTTTCCTCATCCTAAGAGGTTTGCACTCGTGTGTGAAACCAAGCAGAATCAGCTGTGCCGCTTTAATTTTCCAGAGATGTGGTTTTAGTCATCACATTCTACGTTGTGTATTTTGTTTCCTTTAGTTAAATGGCGGTCAGCAAACCACAGGTACACGCCGAAGTCCAGCCTGCCACCACTGCTACAAAAAAGTTTTACTGAAACACAGTAGCATGCCACCTGCTCGTATAGATAGTTATTGAAGCGCGGCCACTCCGGCAGGTTTATGTGATGGGCAGCTGCTTTTGCCTTAGGCTGGCATAGTTGAGAAGTGTGATGGACATCCCGTGGCCACTAAAACTGAAAGTGTATACTATCTGGTCTTTCACAGGCTGTGTTTGCCAATGCTTGGTCTAAATATTTGTGGAATAAGTTATTTTCTGTGAATAATTTTCCCCCACTGTTTAGGGGAACGCAAACGAAAGCCTGTCTGCACCAGGGAATCCGACCAGCTTCCTGTTTCTGATCAAAGATGTGATCGGCTGCCGCAACCCGGACCCATCACAGAGCCCTGCGGCATGGACTGTGAGCTGAGGTGCGGCTTCGGCTTTCCTGAGCCTCATTCTGCGGCGGGAGGGTCTTGTGGGGAGGTCTGCAGTTGCAGGTCTGAAGAAGGAGCTGATCTTAGGTCACCCTTCCTTCTACTTCCGAGACATGGGCTTCGGCCAGTTCCCCATCACTCCGGAGCCCATCAGCCGCACAGCATGCATCTGTGGGTTCGAAGAATCAGAAATAGTTGGTTAGAGTCTGGCACTTGCCTGAGGATGTTACCATTTGACCGTCCCAACTTAGGGTGGTATCGGCCTTACGCTTCAGTTGTATCTTGTGCAACAGTTTGGTCTGAAAGCCAGCAGGAAAGGGGAGAGCGCATCCGAGAGTGCCCGTAACGTTCTGTCTCCGCCCAGGTGCCCAGCAGCCAGTCGAAGGGCGGTCAGGCTGGCGGCCGAGGCAGTGCACTGAGGCATCATCATGGAAGGGATAGAAGAAAGTCTATGTACCAATCTCCAGATAGTCAAGCAGCTCGTATGTAAGGGGAGTTTGAAGTCTGGGGCAGGGGTGCTGAGCAGGTGCTTCCATTGCCTCCAAGGTTGACTGTGGTGTGGTTATTTTTTTAAATAATTTATGTGATACTTAATTCAAAGCACACAACAAACAGCAACAGCAAGAATGGCGTTAGCAGCCCTGGGGTGGGGACACTCGGTGGCTCTCACAGGTGGGCTTGATCTCGTGTAGACGGCGGCCTTTGCTGTTCGTGATGGGACAGTGTTACGGCAGAGGGTCCCCGCGAGGCCTGTGTGAGGGAAGCACAGCAGGGTGCGGTGCTGCTTTGTCCGTCTTCCGCAGAGCACAGGTTGTCAGCACAGAGTGGCAAGGCGACGGGTGTCACCCACGCAGGGCAGAGGTCGCATGTTGACATGGGACACCCTGTCAGGGAGTAGACCCAGCCTGTAGTGCTGGAGTGTAGACCATCAGGCCCCGGGGCTGCGTGAGAACAGAAGAGGGCCGGGGCCTGTGTGTGAGACCTTCTGTGTGGGAGTCCGGGGGCAAGGTCTCCCTACCAGCTCTCCCCCGAGGCCCTGACTCCAAGCCAGCACCTTCCCACCGTCGCCCTTCCTCTCTGCTGCCCCTGACCTGCTTGCTCATTGGCGTGCCAAAGAGTCACTGTCAGGTTGGCATTTTCATTGATTGAGAAGAGTCATGGTTCAAACAGAAACAAGATACTAAATGGTAAGCATTCATACTGACACTGGGCAGTATTCCTGTTGTAGGTAGTGGAAACCCATCTGATTCAGCCAGGTGAGTTAAATTATAACTAAAGATTCTTTCAGGAAAAATAATTAACTGCTAAAATAAATTAGTCACTCAAATTTGACGGAATAAAACTGAATTGGTGAGTAGGTTCCTGGACTTACAACCTTCATAAACTGAGAAAGGTACAGTGTCAGATTAGTCATAGAGACCCACCTAGGATTGCATCTCCCACCACTGTGAAAGTAATAATTGAGTCAACCATTGTCTAAGATTTTAACAGTTATGTATTTATTACCTTTTTAACATTCTCATATTAATAGGGTAGCCTTTGTATTAATTCTATTGTCTTATACATACTGTATCTTTTCTTTTTTTTCTTTTTGGTACTGGGAGTCAAACTCATGACCTCATGCTTGCTGGGCAGGCACTGTGCCACTGAGCTAAATCCCTGCCCCCCCATATATATAATTAGTATTCTGTTAATTTCTCAAACAGTACCGTGACAGGAACATTACCAACATGTTTACAAACGAGGAGAAGAGGAACAGGGCTGGCAGAAGTTGTGCAAACGGCTCAGGGTCACCCAAGGTGTCACGCAAAGGTTTAAGCGTAGTCCACTTGGCCCCAGAACCTGTGCGCTTCAACCCTGCGATGAAGCTGTCTCCCCGCTCAGCTCAGTCCTGGCGGCGCTGGTGTTCCCAGACCCCATCCTGCGTAGCTTCCCAGTCTTTCCAGTATTCCGCCCCACCATTTCCTACCTCCAGCTCCTCCTCTTACCTGGTGTTTCTCTGCTGGCTGAACCCGACCCACCGGCCCAGCCTCGGATGACGGCTGCCAGTGCCGTGGGCCCGCTGCCCATGGTGTCCAGCCCGCTCCTGGGCTGGCAGCAGAGGCAAGTCTGTGCAGAGCCTTTCGAGGAGCACAAGGTGACCGTTTACAGCAAACAGACAGTCCTTTCCCCCGAAGAACACCACGTCAGAGTGCAGGTGACGCGGCCTTGGCGCTTGCAGAAGTTACTATTTTTCCCTGTGAGCAGGTTCCAGTCTCAGCCACACTTGCGTTTGGTGCTGCTTCCCTGCCCCTTCTGAGGTTCTGCTGCACTGGAAGCCTAGCTCAGGAGGCTCTCTCCACACTGGTCTTGGTGCAGTGATGTGATAGGTAAAATTCATTTGCAGAATAAAACTCCAGGGGCAATAATAAGTCATAGAAGTCGGGGCTACTTTTCCTGAGTGTTGTCCTAGGTGTCAGATGCTATGCACGCCTTGCCCCTCCTGATCCCCCAGTAACCCTGCGAGCGGAAGCAGTGAGGAGGCCTGGGGCTCTGAGGTGGCACAGCCCACCTGGGGCCCTGACTTCGGGCCTGTGGGAGCTCATCGCCACACCCAGCTCCTTCTGAGTCCGTTGCTTGTCCTCTGGCTTTCATTAAAACTCATCTCACAAAACCTGGCTTAAGCCAGGGCTAAAAATCTCACTTCGTGTAGCACCTGTGTCAAAGGTGCTATTCTAAACTCTCCTTTTGGAAAAATCACATTTTAAGAACTTTTTTTAAACTCTACTGAGACCAAATGAGGAGTAGCTCAGAGCCCAGGCCTGGAAGGTGGCAGCCTCCCTGCGGAAGGACACGCAGGCGGAAGTGAGTGCGGCTGCGCCCTTTCTTAGAAGAGGCAGGCGACTGGTGCAGCAGTTAGGGAGTGAAAGGAGAAGAAGGGAGTTTAGGATTAGCTTATAAGCTCCTCACAACTAGACAAGTAGATACTCATACCTAAAACTGAACAGAAGGCCATGGTATTTTGTCAACACTCAGATTCACATGATGCCGGCTTTTCACAAGTCGTTCACTGAAAGATACACAGACACAAACCGAGCCTAAAGAAGGTAAACTGTCTTTGGACTGTTACCGGACAGTCAGTATGATCAGGCGGACTGTTGTCCAGCAGTTTACATGCAAAACTGTAAGACTGGAGAGAGGATTCTCACTAAATGGCCCAACTCTATAATAGCTTCTCCCAAAACACATTTGTGGCTCAAAAGTTCTACTAGGTGATCGTTGGCAAACCAGCGCCAGAAGCCTTCTAAACGTCTCCCTCTTGTGTGAGGGTTCAAGCTACTGGCCAGTATTTTGAAGACCCTGCGATGGAGAAACCTGTTTGATGCAGTAGTTCTCAAAGTGATTTAATCCATAGCACTGCACGTACCCGCCACCACACATAGCCACACTTTTCGCCTCAGGTTCTACCTGCTAACAAACACGTTGAAATATGCTGTTCTGAAGTGTAGTAATTAAATACAGGTAGATTTTACTTTCCATGAGATGAACTGAATAAATGCAAAATACTGAAGATCATTGTCCTGAAAGTGAAACATACAACAGGCAATAACATTTAGAGAAGAATTTTTCTAAGGCAATGCCGTAACTTTCCCTGAGATTCTTCTAGCTTCTCTGCTTAGAGTCTGCGGGTTCTGTGAACATCAGGGAAGTGATTTTACAGCCCCTGCTCCCTGTCGTGGTGTTGTCTCGTGTGGGCAGGATGCCTGCCTCTCTTAGCCCGGATGGAAAATAACCTATCCATAGGGCAACAGAAGGCAAACAAGGTAGTTGAGAATCAAAGTGCAGATGAAAGTTCCAGATGCCTCTCTGGAATTGGTTCGTTTTTTTGCCTTATTTCCTCCAGGAAGTGAGAGTTTGCCTTGATTAAACTGTGACAGGATGAGATAAAGCATTGGTTTACAAGCCCTCATGTGCATGTTCCGGGTTAGAACAAAACCCGCTAATACCGTGTCACTTCTAACGAACAATCTCCTTACCCCAACTTTACCGGCAGTGGTCACCTCTGACCTACTTCAGGGCACTGCTGAGGAATGCCGCGACAGCTGTGTGCTCAGTATTCCTCCTGTTACTCCCAAGTCCTCCTCCACACGGTGTGCGTGGAAGACCACTTAAAACGCTGGAAATCAGAAAAGCACTCACTTTCTGAGCATAGAGAATTAACAAACAAGAGTGAAATGAAAGAATGATTATAAGAAATTATCTTTTATGGATTGGGAAGTCTAACTGACAAAATAAATTTCTAGTTCATTGATTTAGAGTATTCAATTTAAGCATTTTATTTATTTTCTTTTTAAATTTAAACACTGCAGTCCGTGTTTCTGGGGCATTAAGAGAATCAGATATTCCTCCAGGGGATAGTAAGCATTTTCCTGCCTAAAAGCTCCCTCATGGCTACGTGGGTTATAAAGGTGATAAGGGTTGGTAAAGTCTAACTTTAAAAGTCTGTAGGTGTTATGGAAAACCGTTCACATCTTCAGGGAATTTACAGACTTTATACCGAGATAATAGTGCAGCAGGGCTTAGCACACTCAAAGTCCAAGTCAGTCATTCCCATCGTTAATTCACAGGACATTCATTGAGCACCTTCCAGCATGGGCCCACTTAAGCAGGCACCATGGCTGGGTTTCCACACACTTCATTATTCAAAGCCAAATGAAAATGCTAGATTACATGAGCTTCTTGAATATAAACTTTCTTCTTTGCTCTGTCAAATTCCATTTTTTTTTCTTTTTGGTTGCTTGAATTTCAGATTAGCTATACCAGGGAGCCATCACAGAGATAGGACCGCTAACTTCTGCTCTGTGACTTCCATATACGCTGGCAGCCATGTAAATTACATGGATATGTTGGTTTAAGATTGCATCTTAGTAACTGTGGCTTCTCACTTCATGCCATTTGGGTTAGGGAAGAAGAAGAACCCAAGTGTCCCACTAGCTGAACAAGGCAGATGTGCACTTAACAGAAATGTTGGTTTCTCCCCGTTGTTTGCCCCAGGTGGCATGTGGCCAGCAGGAGTGAATGCAGTGCCCAGTGCGGGCCGGGCTACCGCACATTAGCCATCTACTGTGCCAAATACAGCAGGCTGGATGGGAGGACTGAGAAGGTTGACGACAGTTTCTGCAGCAGTCACCCCAAACCAAACAACCAGGAGAAATGCTCGGGAGAATGTAACACGGGTGGCTGGCGCTATTCGGCTTGGACGGAAGTAAGCTGGTTGTCACTCGAGTCTTCACGAATGCTAAGGCTGCTTAGTGTGAGCCTCGTAGGACTGTGTTAAGATGCCCCCATTTAGGCAATATGGAAGAGAGACCCGTAATTGATTTATAATGCCTGAGCCCGTTCAAGCTCTGCAGGAAAGAATCCCAAGATTGGTTTGTAATGTCTGACACAAACCTGATGTGTGGAAAACCAGGAGTGATTAAACAGATCAACCTCTTGCTTTTCTGTACTCCACAAGCCATTTCCAACTTTATTTTCCTGTGCCAGTGAGCTGATATTGACATCAGTATAAACCTGGTAAATAAACTGACAGCACGTAAAGATCTCAGAATAAAAACCAGAGTTTTTCAAGGATGGGGATTGGTTCCCAAGGGTGGGAGACACAGCACAGGCAGGATCTTGAGCTCACTTTATAAGAAACTCTGTGATGGTTTTGTTTAATTTTTTGTCCTTACAGTGCTCTAAAAGCTGTGATGGTGGAAGCCAGAGGCGACGGGCTATTTGTGTAAACGCCCAAAACGATGTCCTGGATGACAGCAAATGCAGCCACCAGGAAAGAGTCACCACTCAGCGGTGCAACGAGTTCCCTTGTCCACGGTGGAAGTCGGGAGATTGGTCAGAGGTGAGAGGGGAGGGCGCTTGTCCCCAGGTCACTCGGATGCCCTCCTGGGTCTCCCCAGGTCTGCGTAGAGGTAAAGCTGCTGAGCCTGACTCCCTCCTCAATGGAGGAAACCGCAGTCCCAGCTACTCCCCACTGACTGATGGTCCCCGTGACTGTACCTGCCAGTGACTCCGGAGCCTCCCTGGGCTGGCTGAATCGCTCTTCCCGCTGGCTTCTGCCGGTCCTCCCCTCACTTCCTCTTTGAGCCCTACCTATGTTGCGGGCTGGAAACCAGGGCTTTATGGATCAGAAAACCAAGCTAACTTGAAATCTATGTCGGGTTTCCTACTTCCTCTTTTGGAAATCAGAGAGGTAGAACCCAGTGAGTGACCTTTGTTACCTAGCAATCCAGTCCCTGGAGGAAAACTTGGACAAAAGCGAGAAAAGACCAGGTTGATATTCCAGATTTGAGCCTTTCCCATCCCTGCCTTTATGAAGCACGAAGCAGCGCCTCTACTGCTTATGTGTGCCCAGGGCCGCAAGAGAAGGCAGACGCAGAACTTTTGCCTGTCTGGGAAGGGAGACTCACTGTTCGCACAGCCCCGTGTTCAGGCAGCCCTGTGAGGTTCTCTCCCGGAGTGAGACCCTTTCCACCTTCCTTCTGGGGGTCATCAGCCAGCCAGGTTGCGGGTGGGGAGGGAAGGTAGTTACAGCCTCCGCTGCCAACGTGCACGCGTGTCTCCCCCAGGGAGATGGGCGCTAACTGTTCGCTTTTACCGTCACGCGCCGTGCCTGTCTGAGAAGACAGTACTAATGCTGCTGGAATGGGGGAGAAGTGGCAGCTTTTGTGATTGTTAGGGCCTGGTTCCTGGGTAGCTTAGCATCCCTGGTGCTTGAGCTCTAGGCTGAACTCAAGACTTGATTTTTAAAAAGTGAAAGGGGGTCATGGGTTTAAGTTTTATTTGGATAGCTGATACTACTTGAAGTATCATTTCAAATTAAATAACAGACCTTTGTAAGAATACTTGATAAAATGTGGGTGGGGAGGATCAAACTGTAAATTCAGGATTCAAGATTCCTTAGACTGATTCAAGATTCCAAAGACTGGAAGAAAAGAATGAAGCGTTGATAACATTCTCCCTTGAGGAGTGAAATTTTGGATTATTATGATTTTGTCTTCTGTGTTCTTTCTGTGTTTTGCAAATGTTCTAAAGTGGACATGAATAACAATTAAAAGATCACCTTTAACGATTTTTTGAATGGAATTTGTGTTAAGCACTTTCCTTTGGGTTTTTTTTTTCAGTTAGTTTTCAAAGCCCTTTGCAGTAGATGTTATAATTATCCCCATTTTACAAGAAATAAAGGCACAGAGGGACCATACTACTTGGTTGCATGGGGGGCCAGACCTACGTTGGTCTGACTCAGAATTCCCATGCTTATCCCCGAATGCTAGAAAGCCATGACTTGTTTTTCAGTGTGCTAGAGCATGGTGCTCTGCTGACTTTATGTTCTGTTTGTAGTTGGCTCCGAATCTAGGAATGCAGAGAGAAAAGGCAAGAGAGGGGGTGAGGAGGAGAGAAGAGAGGGGCTGGTGTGTTCACCAGCTGCTCCGGGCTGGAGGCGAGGGTGTGGGAAAAGGCACAACTGCTCTTGCTAATCAGTGACCAACCGTGCCAAACGCGCGCGTTGATCAGAAATGGCCCTTGTGGCTCTGCTTTTGTTCCAGTGCTTGGTCACCTGTGGCAAGGGGCATAAGCACCGGCAGGTCTGGTGTCAGTTCGGTGAAGATCAAGTGAGCGATAGGATCTGTGACCCCGAGGCCAAGCCCGCGTCCATGCAGACGTGTCAGCAGCCGGAATGTGCATCCTGGCAGGCGGGTCCCTGGGGACAGGTATTTGGAACTTCAGAACGATAACATTCTTAACTGCATTCTTTCCTTCTTATCTGGAGAGGGCTTGCGTAGGGTCATCCCTGGGGAGAGGGGATTCGCAGCAGTGCCCCATGGCACGCAGGCACCAGCAGGGGCAGGCGGGCGTGGGAAACCCTGTGGCCTGGCGCGGCCCTCCCGCATCTGTCACTCCAGTCACGCTCATGAGCATGTTGTCACCCCTGCCTCCAACTGCACGGGAGCTGTCAAACGGATCTGCAACAGACGTCACTCTGGCTGGTGATCTTCCCAGGTGCCCCTCGGGCTCCATTTCAGTGTGATCACAAGGCAGAGAGCGCCTTTGGCGGGAGGATCAGGACTGGGATCTGGACGGGATATTTTGGCTCCTGATACCACAGCTGCATAGCTCGCCTCTCATAAATAAGTCTGACTCTTCCAACGTGACTAACTCTGTCAAAGCGTGCAGGACGTGGGGCTGGGAAAGGACCTCTTCCAGGCCTGGGGTTGGTGGGTTGTGCGGTCTTAGGTTGGGCTGTCCTTAGAGAAGGAGGAGGCTCCCTTGGGCTTGTGTTTACTCCTACAATCGAGCCCTTCCCAATATAGAGACAGAAGCACGCCAGCTGCTGTTAAAGCGGCACTCTGAGTTCCAGCAGAAGTGGAGCGGCCCTCTGCTGTCTCTTATGTAACTCTTCAAGAATCGCTGTCCCTCCGCTCTGACCAGCCGCAGCACTTCTGTCCTGTGGCCTCCGTCTTCATTCCTAACCTTCGTGCAGCTTGGTGACTGCCCTGTACTGCTTTTTCATCACATCAGCAGGCTTCTGAGGCGCCCCCACTTCATAGATCCCCAGACCAGGGGCAAAGCCTGCCTGAAAAAGCAGAAAGGGCCCCACACACGTCGGAAGCCTGCCTGCTTGTTGCCTACAGTCACATAACTCTCCGGGAGTAAGGAAGAGAGCAGCATCTTCCGGCGGATGAGCCTATTTTATCCACTACACACCAGGCCAGTCCTAGGTCATCTTCTGTCTAGACATTTGACCTTCTTGTGGCTGATCATGTGACTTGGGAGCAGTTCTTTTCTTTTAATTATTGTATTTAAAAGTGATAAACACTGTAAGAAATTCTACACAATGTAATTTAGCAAAAAGGAGAAATCCTAAAAATCTGGTTTGATCTTTTTCTTTTTACTTTTTAGATTTGTGTCTTCATTTGTTCTGTTCCGTTTGCTTTGGTTTGGCTCTAAGGATCAAACCCAGAGCATTATGCATATTAAGCTTATGCTTACCCCTGACCTGTATACCCCAGCCCTTTCTTCTTGTGTCAGTTTTTGTAATTTGTATGTCTCTAGACTATTTGAGTTTGTTTCATGTTCATCTAGATTATCTAATTTGTGGGCCTAAAATTGTTCAAGGAACTCTCTCATCAGCCTTTCAATTACTGTGGTAATGTTCCTTCTTTCACTTCTGGATTGAGTCATTGGAATCTTTTTTCTTTTGTTCTTAAACATTTGTCAGTTTTGTTAATTATTCCAAGAGCCAGTTACTTCCTCAGAATAAGGTCATAGCACTCTTCTAAGAACTGGTCTTAGCCCAGCGCTTTGCTGGCTAGAGTGTGAAAAATATAAAAATGGCAGAAGTGCCCCTCTCCTTTCCTAGAGTTCAGCCAAGGAATCGGACCCAGTAAGATAAAACTCCCTGTGTCCTCATAATAACTGGTCAGTGTCATTTTCACAAAGCAGGATTGCCCCCTTTTTACCTAACTTCTTCGGTGCCAACCCTCTGGCCCGTGATGATGGAAAATTTATCCCCTGCCAGACGTTATGGTGAAAGGAAAGAAGGAAATGACTCCTGAATTTTGGTCTCATTTCCTCCCCCAGTGCAGTGTCACTTGTGGACAGGGTTACCAGCTGAGAGCAGTGAAGTGCGTCATGGGGACTTACATGGCGGTGGTGGATGATAATGACTGCAACGCAGCCACCAGACCCACCCACACCCAGGTGAGCCTCCTGTGTCCCGTTCAGGTCCCGCCCCTCCCGACTTCCAGGAGTTCCGGCAGTGTCAGAATCGGCTCAGAGGTAGGTACGAAGGCGGAGAAGCCAGCTGATCAAGTTATCTGGAGTTAGTTATTTGCTATGTTAGAATCTGATATTTTGCTTTACTGACTTTATTCTTTCCTAGTTATTTAAAGTATACGTAAGTTTGATTTTACTTTTTATTGGCTGTCAAATTTTGGTTGGTTTTGTTTTCTTGAACCAAGATTTTTTAATGATTTCCTTGTAGAATTCAATAACTACTGTCATAAGTTCAGGAAGTGCGTGTTCAAGCTATCTTGGACCAGCTCACAAGTGCCAACTGGTAAATTTTATAGGAACACTGTGAGCTGGAATTGAAACATAGCTGTTATTCAAGTGGAAAAATACAACCTATTGTGAAAGAGATGCTATTAAAAGCAAAGCTTATCAGGATTTTAAAGTACCACTTCCTAGTCATTTTACTATTATCTGTGTCCCGGAGGATACTTGCACTTGCGTGTGTTTGCATGGTGGATGTCCTATGTACTATGTGCGCTACTGAACATCTTTTCCCGACCCTTGTATTGACTCATATCAATTTGGCAGCTTGAAATTAGCCGTGGTGAGAGCGCTTCACCAAAGAAATCGTCAAGTGTTGTGATAGGGCTTTCTTTATTGTTTGTCTATTGTTTCGACTTAAGAAAGTGATGGGAAAATGTTAATAATGAAGGTTAAACTTAAAAGAATCTTCTCCCTGTGGCTGTTACATGATAAATAGCACGCTGTTAGATCTGCCAGTGCTCGTGTCTTTGATTCTTCAGAGACTTCTTTCAAAGCAATGGGCAGCAAGTCGGGTTCTGACAAACATCTCATCCTTTCAGTCCCACCTTCCCTTATTTTTGTGGTCCTTGGGATTAAACTCAAGGCCTTTGCATTGGACTAGAACCCCAACCATTTTTCATTTTTATATTGAGATAGGGTCTCACTAAGTCACTAAATTGTCTAGACCAGCCTTGAGCTTGCTATCCTCCTGTTTCAGCTTCCTAGAGTGAAGTGATTGCTCATCTGTGGCAGCATATCTTTCTCACCTTTCTCATAAATATAAACAAAGCATCAACTTGCACGCACCCAGAGCTACATTTTTCAGAGTTTAGCAATAGCTTTAAAATTTCAGCAAAGGGGCTGGGGATTTAACTCAGCGGCACAGCCCCTGCCTGGCAAGCGCAAGGTTGTGAGTTCGATTCCCGGTACTGGGAAAAAAAATTTCAGCAAAAATCAACCAAGGCATTTTGTGGGAAAATCAATTGGCTACATGGAATTTAAACATTGTGTTATTATTTGTAAATTATTTGCTCCACACCTATCTTAGTTACCTTTCTCTCATTGCTGAGACAAAATACCCCACACCCAGTGTTAAAGGAGGAAAGGTTTATTTGGTTACAGTGTGGAGGTTTTAGTCCATGATCAGCTGGCTCCAGGGCAGGGTGGCACATGGCAGAGGGACAGCTGTTCACAGCAGCAGAAGACAGCAAAAGCAACAAGAGCAAAGAGGAGCCACAAGCCTATTTACCTCCCTTATATTGTAAGCAGGCTACCACCCTAGGGCAGATAGAGCACTCACACCCCAACCTCAGTACTATACAATGAACCCATCAGAAACTGTAGATTCAGCCACCTCAGAAAAGCCTGCCCCCCACAACCAAATGAGGCTTTGGGGGACATCGAGGCACAAACCATAACAGCATCCTTTAACGCAGTAAAATTTATGAAAAGTGAGCATGTGCACACTTCTCCTGCACGTGATTTCTGTGTATGTGTGTGTGAATATGTACACACACACACACACACACACTCATGCACACGCACACTCCCACAAGAGAGTGTGCTCTTTCCTCCACACACCATTCTGTAGGAGCCTGGATTTGGGTGTTTTTGTGTCATCTTTGCTCATTGCAGGAGGGGGGATTTGAACCGCGGCTGCCCAGAACAGGCGCTTGAGCGGGCCTTCTGTGCCCAAGGCACAGGCTGCACCGTGAGCCCTTCTGTGTGCCGCACTTTAGCGTGTGCCGTTGGTGGGCAAAGGACGTCAAGAAAGTAGATGTGGCAGTGCCGCTTTTGTTGTCAGCAGTCAGTTACCCAGACAACACCTGTGACTTATGTGCTCTTCATTTCTGTTATTTCACTGCAAGTATGATAAATGCCTGGGAAATGTCAGCTATGATGCCACGAATGCCAGCAAGCAGGAGCTAGTGATTCCCTTAGAGAAACATGCTCCTCGATGATTATCCCCGATGGCCCCTGGGGAGGCTCCCAGCAGAAGGTAGACAATTCCTTCACTCAGGGAAGAGGCCCTGGGGACTTCTGTGGACCAGAGGCAATGGCACAGGCGAGGTCTGGAGCCAAGCAGCAGGCCCCCTTACTCCCTGGGTTTCGCTGTAAGGGAGGCGTCACTTGGAACCACACCCGGCACGGCAGCACGGTCCCTGTCGCAGGCGTGTGGTGCAAATGAATTAAATCAGGAGCAGTGGCTCACCGCTGTGGCTGGAGATAATTGTGGTCAGGTGTGTACATGTGGGAACATTATTGACACGCAGATGACTTCATCTGTCGCAGGGCCTTCCTCTGAGTGACTGAGGGGCTGTGTGAATTCTAGGCACTGCCTACTGAGTACACCTTCTATTCCCACGCTTGACCTTCAGGACTGCAGGTGTTATCTTTAGGTAAACTGGGAAAACAGGTTCATGATTAGCAGATTTTGATCAGGGAACTCACTGCAGTATGAGAACAGAATTTAGCTGTGATAATTTTAAAACACTAACAGTTACTAATAGTTAATGCTTAATTTTTTGACCAATTTTACATGCTTACATCTGGTATTCTGAACAACTACTTTGAAGGTAACAGTATGCAATATAACAGCCATTACCGATTTCCTATCTACTTGTTTTCAAGTTCTGTATCATTTTTAATGTTTTTTCTTATTTTTATTCTCTTTAAAATAAAAAAGAGGTGAAGAATTTAAAAATAAATGTTGCCCTGTTCTTTCCAGTCATACAGATCCCTTCATATTACTTTCATGAATAAATGTGGCCTTAAAAATCATTAAGTAGACCCCAGGTCTGTATTAGGCGCCCACAAAGATCATGCCGCCTTCTGCTGTTGAGGGACCGAGGCTGAGGAGTGCCGTGGGACTTGCAGAGACGCAGAGATCCGAGCTGTCCGATGTCTGGTCCTGCCTTCTCACTCTGTGGCCTCTTCAAAGGCGTGCTGGCTTGGGTAACCGTCTTCCCCCTTCACTCTAGGACTGCGAGTTGCCGCCGTGTCATCCTCCCCCGGTGGCCCCACAGGCAAGGAGGAGCTCACACAGCGTGCCGAGGACCCAGTGGCGATTTGGGTCCTGGACTTCAGTAAGGCCCCGGGGGGAGAGGGGGAGGGCGGAGGGGCGGCCGTGCTCCTGCACCGCTGTGGGGGGTGGGCTGCCGCCGCTTCACGTCGCAAGTCTGTGTTATTTCACTCCAACGCCCAGTGCTCGGCCACCTGTGGGAGAGGCACCCGGATGAGGTACGTCAGCTGCCGGGACGAGGATGGCTCCGTCGCGGACGAGAGCGCCTGTGCCAGCCTGCCCAGACCCGTGGCGAAGGAGGAGTGCTCGGTGACGCCCTGTGGGCAGTGGAAGGCTTCGGACTGGAGCCCTGTAAGCGGGCGAATTCCGTGGAATTGGGAAGGTGTTCGGGGCACAGCAAGGCGTGGAGGGTTGGGGGTCGCACATGTCAGGGAGTGGTATTTCCGAGTTGGACTCACTCTGTGATTTAAGTTAATTTGCACCACATATGTGCAGCTGGTCAAGTGTGCAAGGAATCTCAGTCAAGGATGCAAGGAATGTGCATTTTTCAAAATGTGTAAATCAGTTTACAGCCCACGTGAGTGTCCATCGGCTGGGCCGGGTGGAAAAGCCGGTGTGCACGGAGTTGTCCGTGTGTCAGGTTTGCAGAGCAGCAAAGCAGCGGGAAGACAGGGCAGGGACACGATCTCACTGTGACACTGGGTGCCTCCTGTACCCTGTGGTCATTTGAAGTCAAGTAGCTCTTGGTTCCCTGCCGAGAGCGACAAAGGGGAGTCCCCAGGCCGTGAATGCAGCCTGTTGTGCATATCAGTCGCCACCTGCGGGTTTGTGTAAAAGTGGACGAACCTTTGCCTGTAGGCAACTTCTGAGGATTATACACAATTACATATGTTAAATGCTTTGCAGAAAGTAGGCCCTCAGCAAATGGCAGCTAGTCTCATTCCTCTCAAACCTGCAAACATTCCTCCGTCTGTCCACCCATCACCCCACCCAGCCGTCCGCTCATCTTTCTGCCGGATCTGTCTGTCTGTTCACCAGCTGGTTGTGAAAGCTCACTGGAGAAAGCACGGGGTAACTGGTAACGAGGGCCCTGCCTCGTGGAGATCTTTCCAGGGGCGGGTCCAGTTAATGAACATAGAGCAGTGTGTGCTACAGCAACAGATCCTAAGTTCTAGACAGGAGTCAAGCGGAGGAATGGCAGGAAAGGGTGTGCTACGCTTTTGACAAGGTGGTTTAAAAGGTCCTGACAGTGAGTGGGACCTCAGTGTAGCAAAAGGTGGGCGACACGGATGACCGCAGAGGCAGTGAAAGCCTCAGGGATCTGAAGCCCGATGGTTTGATGTGTTCGGGGAGCGTCCTGGGGCCTGTGTCTCGGAGGAGACAGTGGGGAGTGATGGGTGGAGTCAGAGAGGCAGCCAGCGGCCGGGCCCAGCGGCTGAGCACAGGCCTCAGGGTATTACTCTCCGTATTACTGTCCGTGGGCTGGAGGTCCCTAGAGGGACACACGGGCCGTTCTTGGTTCAGAGGGTCAGACGTTGTGGTCCGTAGCCGACAGACTCAGGCAAGGAGCGTCGGGTTGTAAGAAGGAGCCCAGCTTTAGGCCTTCGAGTAATCCTGGCAAGACAAGGGGAAGACTTGGCGGAGAGGCGGTGGGGCGGCTGTGGGAGTGGCTGGATGTGGGTACGCTGTGGACAGGGAGTCACGGGCTTTCTTGGTGAAAGGGACATGGGGAGGCCGTCCAGGATTGGGCCCAGGCTTTTGACCAGAGCCCCTGGGAAGTAGTGGGCCACTTGCGGAAGTGAATATTGAGGAACTTAAAACCAACCGGCGCATGACGGGCCCTTTTCCTTTCTGAACACTGAACACAGTGCTCCGTGACGTGTGGGCAAGGCAGGGCAACCCGGCAAGTGGTGTGTGTCAACTACAGCGACCACGTGATTGACCAGAGTGAGTGCGACCTGGACTACATCCCAGAGGCGGAACAGGACTGCTCCATGTCACCTTGCCCGCGGTGGACCCCCGAGAGGGACTTAGCTGCATACCCTTCCCAAAACGAGGACTTCCGGCCCAGGGGCTCCAGCCCAAGCCGCACCCATGTGCTGGGCGGAAATCAGTGGAGGACAGGCCCCTGGGGCGCGGTGAGTGTCTTCTGGGGTCCCTGCCTCGGCTGCTCGCTCTGCTTTCCCTTGGGCTGTGGGCTCTGGGGGAGGGGCCGGACCTGGCCCTGGAGCATGGCTGCCTTTGCTGTCACTGTCAGTCATTTGGAGTGAATGTCACAGTTTACTGACCGGCCTTGGAAAGAGGCCTGTGTGACACTGCCTGCGGGGACCTGGGACTGCCGGACTGGGCAGAGGCAGGTCCCTGCTGGGCAGCATGGTCAGGTGCCCCCTGCAGGACAGTGAAAGCCAGGGGGACTGACCCGGAGGGACAAGGAGCCGGTCCTGGAGGCAGAGCTTCTGTCAGAAAGGGCTCGCCATCCCACTCTCCCCAGATGAGTACTGTCTTAGCCGTGGGGTTGCTGTGGCTGTGAGGTAGGGAGACAGAGTCCTCGATTAGGGGGACATTCTCGTGGTATCGCTCGTGTCTTGGACAGGGCACCCTCCCTGAACGGTTATCAAGGAGCCGAGGAAGAGGCCTCCACTGGAGCCACAGATCTACACTTTCAAGCTGTGGGGCTCAGGCAGGTCCCCCCGTCCGTGAGCCGCGGTCTGCTCATCAGTAAAATGAGGATGAGCTACTTCCCACTTTCTCTGGGTATAAGAATTAGATGAGATGATGAAGTATTTTGCAATCTGCCATCACAGAGTGAGACACAAACACAGTTGTCTTTCTTGTGGCCATTGTCACTGTCCTGCGAATTAGGAAGGCCTTGTAAAATATTTAATAGCAAAAGAAAGTGTGCATTTGGTGTTTTAAATTATCTCACTGAACACTTTTGCACTGTGGATTACTGGCATGCTTCGTGGAATTCAGAGGGACAGGATAGCAAGGGACCCCACATGGGCCTGCGGCCGGAAGAGCTATGTGGACAATTCGGTGTCGTCCTTTACATTGCTGTTGGATTCCTTCTGCTGCTGCTAATTGCATTTAATTATTTATGAACTAAAAAGCATTAGAAGGAGGCTGCCTGTTCCCACCCTGGTGATGTTTCAGGGAGTTAGCGGTCCTCGCCTGTGAATACTAATAAGCCCTGTGAGTCTTGCCCCGCCTGGGTGGGCTGTGTGCTCGACAGCCTCCTACAGCGTCTCCCCATCACAGCCCCTCTTAGGCTCCCTGCTTTAAGGCTTCTCTTGCCTGGGTTAGAAAAAATTTGGGTTCTGAGAAATTAAAGAGTGGCCAGGGAAAATAATTACTGAGTGTCTTGTGGTTTTTCTTGGTTGAAGAATTTAGACTTACACGTGTATTCTAATAACGGTACTAGGAAGGCTTTGCTTCGTTCGTTTTTTTCTAAATTTCGTGGTGCCATTCTTATTTAAGACCACATTTGAGAAGGATGTATTCCTGTGAGGCTGAGTGATTCTGACCGGCAGAGTTCCCGATTAGGAGGGATTAGATACGCTTTTTGCAACATAGGAAATACCCTTCTTTTCTCCATTGTGCCTCATTTTGGCTTGGAGGAATTTTGTCCCTAAGTTAAGTTTGGCCCAGGCTAGAGGACGTGTTTTGTTTTGTGTTTTCTGCCCTGTGCTGACTGTCCGACCTCCCAGGAAAGTGAGGTGTGTGTGTGCCTCTTGTGTGACAGGCAGGGGACAGGTCTTATCCAGAGTTGGATTAAGCATACCACAACACTCAGAGAACAGAGGTGGACAGTGTTTAAATCGAAACATGTCTGTTATGGCTTGTGTCTAGATATTCCCCCAAAGCCTTGTGTGGTCATGGGCGGGACTTTTCAGAGGTGGCTGGATCTAGAGTGTGTGATGCTGGGATTAAGGCTGTGATTACTAATCAGTCCACTGAACGGTGTGGCATGGTTCTGGGGTTGATAATGGGAAGCGCTACCCTGGGTGTGAGTGCTACCTGTCCTGAGGGCGTGTAGCTGGATAGATGTAAGGGACAGAAGAGGCTGCTGCCCTTGCTTGTTGCTTGCTGCTTCGCTGCTCTGCTGCCTTCTGTCTGCCTTGAACTGCATCTCCTCTGCGATGCTCCTCTGCCGTGCCGCCCTGCCGTGGAGCCAGCCAGCTGGGAAGTGAAAGCTCTACAAACTGTGAACCAAAATAAACCTTTCCTCCTTCAGCCTTTCCTCCTTGGGTCTTGGGTGTTTTCTCTCAGCAACAAGAAAAGTAACCAAGACAGCATCTAAGTATTTCTCAGAACTAATATATCCATTATTCTGCTCTGTGGTTTAATATAAATCGACAGTGTAAATACCAGCGAGGTGCACTTCAGAGTCACTTGTAATTTGACCAGCACAGGTAGAGAAGCTGAACTGTGGTTCATGCGGTCAGCAACAAAATATATTTCCATTTTGGTAGGGCAGCAGCTGACCAGCAAGAAGCAAATCTGAGCACATTTTAAGATAATGCTGATTTGAACTGGAGTTAAAGCACAAATCAGTCTTCAGTATTATCTGGAACTAAAGACAAAATATGCAGATGTAGCTCGAAGCTTGATTCCTGAGAATGACATTGCTTTGAGAACCAGGCAGTTATTTTATAAGCAAACTGATTTTACAGCACACTAAGCTAAGAAGAGAGGAAATTAGGGGAAGCGGAAGCACCCAGGTGCGGGTGCCTCAGAGCTATGAGGAGCTCGCCTGGGACATGAAGAGAACTGAACAGCACAGGGACAGCCCTGGGGCTGCAGTGCAGCCAAGGAGGTTCTGTCAAGATGGAATTCAATTACGTTTACTGGGAAGGCCGAGAATAAATGTGCAAATCCTCTCTGGCTACCCTTAGCCCCTGGAGCATAGGCCTCACACAGGGCATGAGGGCACATTGGCTTTGGGGGTCCAGCGCCCGAGGGACAGCCCAGTGCTTTCCAGAGCAGTCGGATGAGGGCACCTGAAGCTCAGTTCCAGCACCCGTGGCCTCCCTGAGCCTGTAATTTCACCTCTGTGTTGACAGGGAAGTCAAATGCTGGTTGTAAATAAGTTCCTGCAATTTTGGCAAGAATTTCCACGTAAACATTGGTATCCAGTCACCAACACCACTGTCCTCCCAGAGATGCAGAGAGGAAAGGGAGGACAGTGAGACGCCGTGGAAATCTGAACACAGGTCTGAGCGCTGGGCCTTGATGGCCACCCGCTGAGGCCTGCAGGCCCAGAGGAGGCGGCCTCCCTGCTTAGGCAGCACCCGCCTGAGGCCAGTCTCAGGGCCCCAAGCTCCTTCTCTCCCGGTGGGGACTTCAGCACAGCCTGTCCTTGCCTGCCTTGAGCATGGCTGAGACTCGCCAGAGCTGAGGGTGACTAGTCTCGTGATATGTTCAGTGTTCCAGTACCTGCGCCGGCGGGTCCCAGCGGCGCGTTGTGGTGTGTCAGGATGAAAATGGATACCCTGCGAGGGACTGTGTGGAGAGGATCAAACCTGATGAGCAGAGAGCCTGTGAGTCCGGCCCGTGTCCGCAGTGGGTGTTTGGCAGCTGGGGTGAGGTAAGAAGCAGTGTCTGTTTGTGTCTGTCTGTCTGTCCTTTGGGAAAAACAGAGCCTGACTCGGGTGTTATTGTTCTTATTTATATCCTACATTAAGGAGGAACAACTAGATCTAGTGGGAGCTTCTACATTTGTGATGCACTAGGAGACCCATCTTAATTCTGAACGATTTCAAAAATTCACCTGGTACCAATAATAAAGTCTAAACTCACAGGAAAGGAAAAATACGAATGAATGTTGAAAAATACTGCCCTAAGTTTGTGAGGTAACCTCTGATGGCTGAAAATGAGCGCCTGCACAGTGGCAGGAATTATGTGTAGCATCAGTGCACGGAAGTCATGGCACCTTCAGCATGGTTCGGGGTGTTCGTGTGCACCCCTGTTCCCGAGGCACAATGGCTCCTGATACTCCAAACTCTCGCTCAAGCCAGGAGGAATGCATGTTATCACTCCCTACCACAGATGGCATGTTTCGATCATAGAAAGGAGTGGTTAGCTGCATATTCTCAAATAATGAAGTTCCTCAGCCGTTAGCTGTTCCAGGTTGCCATCTACGACTAATAACCGTATTTCCCCAAAGATAAGACTGGGTCCTATATTAATTCTTGCTCCAAAAGAGCTTATTTTCAGGGACTGTCTTATTTTTTCATGTACAGTAATTATATTTATTCATGTACAAAAAGCTACACTTACTGGAATAGTCACGTCGTCTTCTTCTGGAACATCTTCATAACTCTGCAAACCCCAGATTCCAGCCTGAATGTCCTGCAGCCCCATTTCCTGTGGAACCACTGCCCTAGTCTCTCATGTCCTGCAACAGAGCGCTCCATAAATGAGTGCCTCTTGTCCGTGCAGCCTGCCCCTCATGTGTCGGCAGTGCAGCTGTCAGTGATTTTGTCCCGTTGATCCTTCACCAAGGCCCGACCTCTCGCAGGCTGGGCTTCCCACAGCTCCCATTAAATCAAGCGTCCATCGAAGACTTAGGAGCAGCAGCAGTGGCGACCGTTGAGGATGACGGTCCATACAAAAGCAACAGAAGGTTGCAAGCACCACAGTTCAGAAAGTGTCTTTACTTCACACAACGCGTTACGTGAGGCTGTTACAACCCTTGACACGGAACTGTGAAGTTCACAGTAGACAAGGCACATCCACCCATTATCGAGTGCTGCCGTTACTTGTGTGTTCTGGCTGTGCCGACTGGGCATTTGGCGGTGAGCTCATCTGTTTACATAAGAGTTTGCCTCTCATCCAAAGCCACCCACTCTGGTATTTACAAATACTTAATTATAATTTATATTATCATTGCAGTACTTATATCGATAACTTATTTAATTTATACCTAATTATATATTATTATTTATACTTATATTTATTTCATTATATTTAATTTATATTTATTATATATTATTATTTTATAATTCAGTAGGTCATTGTGTGTTGCAACAAATATACTAAATGCCTCTGCCTGGCTAACACTCTTAGCTAGGACTTATTTTCGGGGTAGAACTTGCATTATGACCATCCTGAAAAATCATGCTAGGGCTTATTTTCCAGTTAGGTCTTATTTTCAGGGAAAAGCCATAAAGGCAGTGGTCTGTTTGCAGCGGGACGCAAAGCTGGGTGCAGTTCCCAGCCCTGGCTGTCACCAGCTTTGTGACTCTGGCGGGTCACATAACTTTGCCATTTTTATATCCTCATGTCTAAATGGGGATTACGATAGCAACTCCGTACTGCCTGTGACTGTCCAGTGAGGTGGCGCCTGTCAGATCCTCGCACCTGGCCTCCAATCAACTGCTATTATAAAAATGCAGCTTTCACTTTCAACGCTGTCATTACTATCATTGGTAATGCTATTATCATTATATGTAGCATTGAGCTCCTATTTTACCTAATAATAGGGCTCAGGTGCTTTTTTTTCTGTTTAAGCAACAGTGTGTCTCTTGTTGAATCCGCAAGGGTAGCACATGCTTAAAACTTGCTGAGCTGTCCTGCCCTGGCTATAACGTGTACCAAGGCAAACATGACAGTCAACGCCTGGGAGACCCAAGCCCTGAGAGGAACAAAGGCAAAGGAGACTGGTGGGCCCGTAGCCCACACTCCTGGCTGACGAAACCACGTCCTGGACGGTGGTTTCGCACCCTAGCAGTCCCAGCAGTGCCCTGGAAGTGTGTTGCTGACCTTTCAGTGACAGCTCCATCACTCCGGAGGGCTTGGCCGAGGGCAGGCGGGGAAGTGAGTGAGGATCGCACACTCACGCCCGGTGGGATTCCCAAAGTGCTTTTCCCAGTTCTGTGGGACCCATGATTAAGCTCCTGTGGCTGGCTCCGTGCCAGGGGATTACGTGGCGCTGCTGGGGTGCTGGCTCTCCGCACGGGCGGATCTTTCCAGATTCCGTGAGAGATCTGGCCTTGACACAGCGGGAAACTGAGTGTCACTGCTCCTGGATGTGAGCACAGCCTCGCTGTCCAAGAAATACAGCTTGCTCCTGCCGCAGAAGTGTGGGTCCTGCCAGGGGTCAGCGTTTTGTGGAACGTTCCCACTACCCCGATTACCCACCCTAGGAGCAAGCTGTAGTTATCCTGAAATTCAGGGCTGCAGTAAAATAGCTTAACGTCATGGAGGTCAAGAGATGCTGGAGTCAGAATTGCCAAAGGTTGGTGGTGGATTCTCAGAAGTTTCCAGAAAGTAGGGCTGGCGCCCTAGCTCAGGAGCAGGGTGCTTGCCTGAGGTGTGCTTTCGCTGCCCAGCGCCAGTAATTAAGGTGCCTGAAAATACAGTCGGCCAGTTCACTATTGCCTTTATTTACACTAGGTGGTTCTTGTTTGTTGGGCATGTTTTTGTTTTAATTTCTTGTTGTTCTAAAGAATTTTATCTTAGTTACTGGTTAGTGGAGGGCCTTGATCAAGCTGCGCCCCTCCTCCTGAGCTCCGCTGCCCCATGCGTAAAACGGGGCAAACAGGGACCCCTTCCTGCGGATGAGATGATGCGTGGGGGGATAGGGCGCCCTGTAAAAGATGCCCACCCTCCAGCTGGAAGGGCTGGGCCTTCTGCCCGTCCCCCGGGTGAGCTGACCCGGTCCAGGTCCCCAGTGCAGTCAGGGTTTGCTAAGAGGGCGCGCTGTCAAGGACCTGCGATGAGTAACGCGCTTCTCCCTCCGCAGTGCTCCAGGCCTTGCGGGGGCGGCGTGCGGTCGCGGCAGGTGGTCTGCCAGCGAGCCGGCGGCCAGCGCGTGCCCGACCTGAGCTGCGACGTGCTGGAGAAGCC